TGATTTTAGCTCCTGTCAGCCATCACATGTATGTTGGTGGGAATCAAAAGCTGCATTGGTGCATTTGCTGGAGACCATTTGAATTTAGAAGAGATTAGGAGGCAACTGGTAGGTGTTGTCTGATAGCACAGAGGACCTGTCATGGTACACTTTTAAGGCACTTTCTTAGGAAGTCCCAGCACCATTAGCAAGAGATTTGGGATGGGATTTCTGCAGAATGAGAAACACTGATTGTGACTTGTATTGTGAGTAACTGCTACCTGCTTTTTCTGGCCCGTGGAATACAGGCTATTTATGGGATAGTGCCAGGTGATAATTAAAACATAAAGCAGCATTTCTAAATACTAAAACAAACAAACAAACAAAAAAACCTGCTTACCTCTTAGGAACATGGTTGGTTGGAGTGAAAGGACTTTGTATGTTTGTATGTTTGTATACACACACTTGTGGAGGATGAAAACTAGGGAAAAAGACGTAGGGTGGCATAGAAGTAGCTCCTGTTAAAATAATATTGGTTGTTGGCTATTCTGTGTGACTAAGAGATTGTGGAAAAACACCTCATCTATCCTAGCTATTCATACTAATTGTGATAGTGAAAGTAGCCAGTGGCTTCAAAATCAGACCATGGGAAAGACAACATACTAAATATTTTCATGCTACAGTACTTTGCACAAAATGTCCACAAACCTTAGAAAAAAACAATGGATGGAAACAGTTTTTTATAAATTCTAGATATGTGCCTTATGGGCAGAGCACACTGTGTAACATTACCAGTGTTTATAGAACAAAAACTTATTCTAAATATTTCCTAAAACATGTAATGCAGGTTTTGTACAGTATAAGCTTTTAGATTTCTTCTATTTTTTGTTCCTCTTCCTAGACACAGGATTTTGCTGTTGTGAATTTAATATACATAGGTTTTAAAGTTAGAAAAGATGAGAAATATACTTGTGTTTTATATGTGTGTTAATGCTATTTTGTCAATAGCATATATTTTTTTAAAGGGTATGTGTTGCACTGATACACATAATTCAAGAACTTGGGTGCTAGCAGACTGGCTGTGGATTTGCCATGTTCTAAGAAGTAACATAGGGGAAAGTCGGTTTCACCATATTCTCAGAGGGGACAGGATTCTTCAAAGGTCAGATAATGCTGGAGAAAAATAGGCTGGGGTGGAATCAGGCTGACCTGGGTTCAAGTCCTGGCTGTACCACCAACTATGGTTTTGGCTGAGTTAGTGAACCTTTCTGAGGCTCACTTTCTTCAATGTAGACTAGACGGATAATACAACCTAACTTTTTGTGGGAAATAAATGAATTAATGGATGTAAATTGCCTGTTGCTTTGAATCTTTTTCTGAAAGAATGTCAGAGGTTTAATTAATAAATTAGAAAGTATATGTATCATGTCTGGCATGGGCTATCTGGTGATTTGATGCTGTTAAAATTATAGAGAAAGAACAGTAAAACTTTTTTTAAAGGATCACTCAAGTTTTACCCAGTTTAGCCACCAGGGGGAAATTATTCTGTCACTTGACTGTCTGTCAGGAAGTTGCCATTCTTCTTCACTTAACGGAAGTCAGTTTTGTTCCTGATCTTTATCTGTTTAATGAGGTAGGAGTCATAGAGAATTTAAGTGCAGATTAATTCACTTAATTTTTTTGCTATTTATTTTTATTTTTGTTAACCCTCACCTGAGGATATTTTTCCCATTGATTTTTTTAAAGAGAGAGTGGAAGGGAGGTGTGTGGGGGGAGGTGGGGGAGAGAAATACCGATGTGAGAGAGACACATAGATTTGTTTCCTTCTGCACACACTCCAACAGGGGCTGGTGTTCGAACCTGAAACCCACATACAGGCCCTTGATCAAGAGTCAAACCCACAATCCTTCTATGCGCAGGTTGTTACTCTAACCATAGCGCCACACCGGTTAGGGCAATATTTTTGCTATTTCTTAGGTCAATTCAATTCTTTCATAGGCCTTTATATCCTAGTTCCTGTTTTGAGGATTAAGTTGTAATGATAGTAAAATCTGATGCTTCTGCAAATTTAGACTGTATAGATTTTGAAATGATCAGAAATAGACTTAATAATATATGTATAATATTTGACATATTCTAATTTAACAGAAAAAAAAGAAAAAAATTATTGAAACTAGTATATTCCAACAGAAGATAGCTATAATTCAAACAGACAAGTTTTTTTCCATTGACTATTTAAAAATGAATGTATATTATATATTCAAGTAGGCTGCACATAGAAGTATTTTTATTATAAAAAAATTCAAGCATACATAAAACTAAGATGTATCATAAACCATCATAGATCCTTCACACATAGTGACCATTACCAATATGTTGCCAATCTCGTTTCATTATGTCATTGATTAATTTACAGCAAATTCCTCAAATTACATAATTTTATCTGTCAATTTCACTTTGTGTCTCTGAAATACAACAAAGAACTCCCCTTTAAAAAATATACACTGTCACCTGGCCAGTGTGCCTCAGTGGTTGAGCATTGACCTATGAACCAGGAGGTCACGGTTCGATCCGGGCACATGCCCGGGTTGTGGACTTGATCCCCCGTGGTGGGGGGCTGTGTGCAGGCGGCGGCCAGTCAATGATTCTACCTCATCATTGATGTTTCTGTCTCTCCCTCTCCCTTCCTCCCTGAAATCAATAAAATAGTGTGCAATACTTAAAAAAAATAAACACTGTCATTATTCCTCTGAAAAAGCAATAGCATTTGTCTAATGTCATCAAATAGCCACCTGGCATTCATGTTTCCTCCTCTCCTTATAATCTTATTTTTTGAAAAATAGTTGACATCAGGGCTCAAACAATATCTATGATTTATGATATTGTTGCTAATATGTCTCCTAAATTTCTTTTCATCTAAATTTCAGATTTCCTCTTTCAAATATTTTGTTCACTTCTTGCCAGTTTGTTTGTGGAATAAAACAAGTTTTTATCCTATATGGTAGAATAATTTAAAATCTCAAAGTGCCATTATTTGTGTAGGTTACAGTTACCGATATTTACTGTATTACAAATTAAAATACATAATTTAAATTTTACTTATTTAAAAATAACAATAGTAAACCCATTACATTAGTGTATGTAAGCACAGTTTTAACGAAACAAACATAGTTTCAAAACTAAAAGCATACTAAATAAGTACTGCTGTTTTACATTTCTGTAAGTCTCTTTAATGTCCGGCTTGATAGAAGATAGATGGGTTCTGATATTTGCTTCTGCATTCAATCTATTGCAGTATGTTGTTTTGGTTGACATTTATGGGGTTGGAAAAGGGAGGTGTATTTGCAGTATTTTCAGTGAGTGGTGGATATTCTTCTTTGACACTACACCAAAACTTGACAAGTGGTAGCTCCTTTTCTTTTTTTAATCCTCACTCTAGGATATGTTTCGGGAGAGCAAGGGAGGGGGCGGGGAGAAAAAGAGAGAGAGATTAGGAGAGAAACATTGATCAGTTACCTCCTATGTGTGCCCTGACCGGGGTTCAGACCCACAACCTCCAGCCTTTTGGTGCACGGGATGGCGCTCCAACCATTCAGGCCACCCTGCCAGGGCAACAAGTGGTAGTTTCTTAAATGTCTGCTGTAATGTGCAGTTTGAAGCTCTGTTGATCAGCTTTTAATACTTTGTAACTTTAGAATCTATTGGTCTACCATGCACTTTGAATGGATTCTTTACCCATGCATAATTGTGTAACATTAAGCACTGGTCATTTGGAAAATAACTGCTTCGCCACGTTGTGCAGAACTTCCAATTGTTGACAGCATTTTATTGTGAAATATTTTAAAATCGTATTCATGACTGTCACCACCCATCTCCTTAGAGAAGTCTTTAGCTGTTGGGAAGTTTCAAGCTCTTGGTGGTGGATACCAGTTTTTCAAAAATTCTCATTTTCCCCTGAATGCTCAAATTGTATCATTAGCTACAAACGCTGTCAGCATTTTTCTTGATGTGACAGGCTCACTTCATTTATTTTTGACAAAACATTTGCCAAATACTCAAACCTGAATAAACATAGTTTTGGAAATAAAAAAAAAATGGCTCCCTTTCCATGAAAAACAAAACAGCTTATTCAGCTTGTATCTCCAGCAGTTCACCAGCTCCTTTTCCTTGAGGCACCCACAGTACTTTGGCACGCCCACCCACTCTATGGTACTTACTTTATCACCACACAGAACATTAAAAGATGTATATTCAGGCGTCGAGACAAATATTTAATCAAGGATGGTCTTTAGTGAAACTGACCTTTGTTTACTGTGAATGCAGGATGGTGAAGAAATCAGTGGCAGCAGCTCTGCCCACTCATGCTTTTGTTCCATGAGTGCAAATGTCAACAGAGTGAGGGGGGCAATAACGGCTTAGTATTTTTATGAAAACAGTTTTGACTTCTTGGACCTTTGGAAAGGGTCTCAGGGCCCCCCAGGGTCTGTGGCCTGTGCTTTTGAGAAATGTTACTAAAGAGTTTCTGACAGTCCAAATTTTGCTTCTGATATTTTTGTGGTGTGATTTAATGTGTTCCTTTGTTCCTGGTATTTTCTGTAAATAAACTTGATCAGATTAGGTTCGATTTTGTTTTTTTCCTGGCAACACTCCTTCATATATGGTTGTTTCTTAGAGCCATTAATTTATTACGTGTTGCAAATGGTTATGTTTCAGTTCTCCTGCTGATCAACAAAGGAATGTCAGAACTTTATTTCTGCTATAGCTTACCATGGATTACCTTTGTTTATTAGCAGGAATTCTTTCTAAAGGAAAATTTCCCCTCACCCAACTATTTGTTATCCTGAGATATAGTTTGCATGGGTCTCATGATACAGGCAGGGTCAATCCTTGTTTATTTTCCCAAATACATAGTGACTTGGTTACCATATATCCTCCCCAAAGGTGGCCAATAAAGTGTTCTAGGTTTGTTTTTTGTTTGGTTTTGAATATCATTATGAACTCGTGGATTTAAACTTATTTGACGCGTTACAATTCAACGCAGCTAGAATCCTTTCTTGGGCCTGCAGGAGCCTCTTCAGTTGCTTCTGAGTTCTTTCGATCTGATCTCTGTTGTCCTTGATAGTTTAATTGTTTTTTTTGTTTGACATGTTCCAGGCTCATCTTGCACATTTTCTGCCAGAAATCACCTCCTTCTCCAGGAAGACCTCCCAGAAGTGGTATTTAGAGACCACAGTCAGAGCTCTGGGCTGCTCATTACTGTTGATGAGTGATTGTTTCTAGACTTTTTCAGTGGACAAAGCTAGAAAAATGCATATTTTTAAAAGATAAAATGCATCACAAACTCATGCTGACACTATTATTCAAATTTAGGACTCATTGATCTTTCCCATTGCTTGCCAATGACCTCAACATAACTTGTTTTATCCCATACTACACAGAAAACAGTCTCAAAGAACAACATAATGCTGCCAATAACTATGATTATGAAAAAGTTAGTTTTGCAGCTTTTTAAAAAATGAAAAGTAAGTATTATCATAGTTTAGCTAACTGAATTGGTTACCTTAACACAGCGTGTTATTATTGGTGTTTACTGTACATGTTGAGACTTTTTTTTTCTATTTCTGGGAACATCAAATTGGCAGATATTTCACCTGTATTAAATAAATCAATTTATTGAAAGAATCAGTCATATTGATTCTTTCATTCCTTGCTTTTTTATTATCTAAATGGTTCCTTTTTGTTTATTAACATTTTCTATTCTTTATTCATACCTACTCTCTTTTCAATGTTTCAAAACAAAAAACTATTTAGAGGGCAAGGAATTACGCCCATATGGCATCATGATTCTTTGGGGTTTTGTTGTTTGTTTTTTTCCCCCAAAATATATTTTTATTGATTTCAGAGAGGGAGGGAGAGGGAAAGAGAGAGATAGAAACATCAGTGATGAGAGAGAATTATTGATTGGCTTCCTCCTGCACGCCCACTCCTGGGGATGGAGCCCACAACCCGGTTATGTGCCCTTGACCAGAATTGAACCTGGGGCCCTTCAGTCCCCAGGCCAATGCTCTGTCCACTTAGCCAAACTGGCTAGGGCATGATTCTTTGTTTTAAGTGAGTTTGCTATGAAACAATGAATTTCTTTTTAAGAATAGAAATGTTTTTAGCCAAAACCGGTTTGGCTCAGTGGATGGAGCGTCAGCCTGCGGACTGAAGGGTCCCGGGTTCGGTTCCGGTCAGGGGCATGTATCTGGGTTGCGGGAACATCCCAGTAGGAGATGTGCAGGAGGCAGCTGATCGATGTTTCTCTCTCATCGATGTTTCTAGCTCTCTATCTCTCTCCTTTCCTCTCTGTAAAAAATCAATAAAATATGTTTAAAAAAAATAGAAATGTTTACTGTGACACTTTATAACTTAGAAATTTTATTACTATTTTTTTGCTATTACTTACCATGGATTACATTATACAATAGTGTTGATATTTTCTGAAGCAGTTATTTCTTAATCTGTGGATATGAGATATTATGATCAAGAAAATTATGTAAATAAGGGAAACTAAAGTGATGACCACTGAAATAAAAACTGATTTGTATGTGGAATTCTTTTTTTTTTTTTTTGCCTACAGGTTAAAAAAAATAAATCATGACTGAATCTGCCTCTAGCACAAGTGGTCAAGAGTTTGATGTATTCAGTGTTATGGACTGGAAAGATGGAGTAGGCACATTGCCAGGAAGTGACTTAAAGGTAAGCTCTCTTTATTACGTACAATTTTATGTAATGATAAAAATTAAATCTGAATATATACGCAAACTAAGAATTAAAAACATTAAGCACAGTGTTTTATATGATACTTAGACCTCTACAGTAAACTCTCAAGACAGCTGGACATGCTTGTGGTTTGGCAGAGGCCTTTGTCACTTGGGGTAGAGACTAAGGAATGTTTCGGCAGCATGTGCTCACTTTGCAGAGAGTGAGTTACAGCTTCGAGGAGGATCATCTCAGGTTTGACTCTCTCATTATGACCAATAAATGTGGCAGTAGTAGGTTAGAAAACCTGGCTTATATTTTGTAGTAATGGGCTTTATAAATTTAAGTAACCACACTCCCTGGGCCCTAGTGTTCTCATTTAAAAACTGGATAATGTTAAAATATTGAATAAACAGAATGATTTACCTCCCTTAAATTATTTATACTGTAAATATGGATTTTATATAATCACTTGTTCAAAATTACTGATTCTCCCTGTACACCAGGCTGCTTTTGTATGGATGAGAACTCTCTTCAGAGAGTGATTCCTTCATGTGCTCCTTTTCTAGGTGCTCACCATGCCCCTTTCCCCCAGACCCCTAAAGCCCTCTCAGGGACCACATCTGCTGCCCCATGAAACATGGTTACACAAGCCACCTGAGAAGTCAGCCGCCCTCACCTCTCATTTCAAATTTGCTTTTGCTCTGATCCTATCTCTGGGACCTTGAACCTGTCTGTGGCCTTTTGGACTTTGTGTCTGTACTTGGTCACTCAGATGTTTGAACTTCCAGTCTCCCTAACAGGCTATTAGCTGGCTTACCTCTCCAATGCTTGGAGTTCTGTACTGTCTTGAATAGAATTTCCTGCCCCCTAATATTGGCTTCTTATAATCCAATCCCTTTTCGCTGCCAAACCTGCCCTAGTTCATTCTCAGTGGTGAGATTTAGATCTGTTATTTAAGGAAACATACTTAGATTTTAGTTGGGTTAGGTTTAAAGAAATAAGTGCAGTGTGCCAATGTACCTTTCTGAGTTTAACTGAACAGAAATACACGAGTGAGGTTTAGTGACATCTGAAGAGGAGATTTGGTTTTAGTTTTAGGCTGTGTGACCTTGAACAAGTTGGTTGGTCTTTTTGGGCCAGTTTCCTTTTTGGTAAAATAAGGAATTAAATAAACACTAAAAATTTTATCTGCTCTTAACATTATTCAACTGTTCATCTGGATTAGATACATTGGAAGTAGATACTGGGATTTTTGAGAAAGAAGGAACGGTGTCTCAGACTCTGAAAACATCAGCCACATATTAGCTACCTGAACCTTGTCAAGTTATTTAAAGTCCTGTTTCCGAATCTTTATCTGTGAAATGGAAATAGGGAATCTATGTCTTAAGGTGGTTATGAGGTGGTTGAAAAAAATATCTATAATAATAAAAGTGTAATATGCTAATTAGACCGGACAGCCGAAGGACCTTCTGGACGTCATTCTGGACGTCCTTCCAGATGAAGCCGTGGCAGTGGGGGCCGAGGCAAAGGTGGTTGGGGTGATGAGGCAGGCAGGCAAGTAGTTAGGGGTGATGAGGCAGGCAGGCAGGTGAGTGGTGAGGAGCCAGGGGTCCCAGGTTGTGAGAGGGTGCAGGCCCCCCTCCTGAGGGACCCCCTCCTCTTGTGCACAAATTTCGTGCACTGGGCCTCTAGTGTATATAGAAAAGACTTAAATTGTAGCTATTCAGGCATTGTGATATGTTGTGTAGCTGCTCCCCTCCCTTTTTCATTGCTGCATCCTCTTGTACATTTTAATCCCTTCTGAGTAGCTTTTTTGGGTATCAGATAGATGACAAAATTTGTAACTTTTGTTTGGTTAGTTTTAACAATTGAGTATAATTTCCATCCCTAAGAAATTTAGATTGCCCGAGGTTTTCTAAGCAATGGATTTTAGGAATAGTAAATAACCCATTACTTTTATTAAAGCAAGCAGATAATTACCCCATTTAGTGGGTTTTATAATCTGGGTTATTTGATTTTACTTTTAGGCTCACCTAATTGGACAGTTGTCATGTATTCAGTTCACTTCATGCAGTATGGATAGTTTGATGTCCATTAAAAAAATAATTTAAAAACTGATTTTCTACCTTTCTACCCTTTTCATCTAAGGAGATTCAGAGGCTAGCCAATCGATTATGTTGCTTAGGATTTGTAATTCACTTGCTCGTTCTATTAAAATTCGAGTTGCTTAAGAGATCTGATTGAGAAATTAATTTTTCACAAACGTAAGATATTAGAAAGAACTTTGAATAAATCACGAAATTTACTCTCTCACATCATGCTTTGCCTGTTTGAAACCTTAGCATTGCTTAATGTGTTCTTTTAAAATGTAAATTAGTATTTGTAGATTAATATCTCAGGGCCAGCCCTGAGAACAGGCAGGTAGTGAGTGGTATGGGAAGATGTATAGTAGGGCTCCCTTTCCCTAAAGCAATTTCTCTACCTGAGCTTCTCATGCTGTCTGAAATTTATCCACAGAGAATTATTCCTCTGGGCCGTACGGATTTAGTCTTTCAGAGTCTCTGAGTAACATGCAGATACACTCCTGAGAGCAATAGCATCTTATCTAGGAAGAAAAGTTGCCATTTAACTGAGAGCAGGACCTTGCAGCAGCAATGCAGAAGCCCAACTGGAAAACTCCCCGCACTCCTGGTGCACAGTTGGCCTTGCGTTGGTTAGTGTGCAGACCAGTTTAGTTAGCAAATATCCTTGCCCTTAAAGCAGATTGGTAAGTAGAACTCAGATTTCAGCATTAAAAGTCATAAAACAAAAATAGGAATCTCAGGAGTGTCTTTTAATGATCTGTCATTTAATATAGGCAAAAGTGGGCAAAGACCCTTTGCCTTAACAAGCAAAATAGAGACTTGAATCAATTAAAGGCAATTCAAGCCAAGGCAAATAAACAGAACCTTTGCTACTCTTTATATATTTTAGAAGTAATTGTTTCTGATTGACCTGGATATATCATACCCACTTACAGAAAATGTTCAGCGTCACCTGATGTGCTCGATTTGCTTTAATAAAGCGTTTTGTAAAGTTTTATAATTTTGATATTCTTGGTTAGAATGGAATGACTATTTTCACATTGCTTTTTAGACTTCTAGGTTAAAAGAAATAATAACTTCAAAAAACAAAAAAGAAATAAAATTGGTTATTTCAAGTTTTCATGATTCTAAAACTATTCATTAACAACTTCCAAACCTGTTTTGTTGGGGAGATGTCAGTCTCTCTGGAATTCTGCCTGTGGAGCCCAGTCCTGTTAACAGCACCTAACAAGCTGTGTGGTCCAACACTTTCTACAGCAATAGTAATATTGTAGAAGACACGGTAAATCCAAATTGAGAAGCCAGAAAAAAAAAATGATTCCTGTGTCTTTGCATATGATAAAATACATTAAGGACACTTTGAGGTTAATTTTTGAGATAAAGTAACTGGTTACAGTAGATGTTCTTTACTCTTCAGGGTTATAGGATGCCTCTGAAAATACGATGAATCTTATGAGCCCTATCCCCAGAAAAGTATATATGTGTCAATCTCCTAATTATGCATATATTTCATTGGACTCATTGACCCCTAAAGCCCATCCATCCATGGATCCCTAGCTCACAGGAGTCAACTGTTTCCCTAAATGCCATTGCATCTTTACTGTGCTTAAACTATAGGTCAGTTATAGGCATTAAATGTTAGGAGAAGGAAAAGATTATTGGGGTTAAATGTTGTATTGTGGGATTATTACCTTTTAACTTTGAAAGTATTTGAGCCTAAAGCTTCCAGGGGTCATAAGTCTGAATTTCTATTTGAAGACTCCACTTAGTGGTGCTCTTGTTCTAGGTGTGTGAATTGCAGGGTGGTTTGTAGTTTAGCAGCAATTTGGAAATTTACGCCCCAGGAGACTTTCTTTGTAATGTAAATGTTTGGTGCTATTTCTCCCATTTTGTAACTGTCCGATAAATATAAATTAACATCAACACATAATAAAAGTGAAAATTGCTTTCCTGGATTGAATTATAAGGTTTATGCCTGTTTTGTGTGTGTTTGTGTGTGTGTGTGTGTTTTAAATTTTTTCATTAGAATTGATATTCTATCATATTCTGTAATATCACTAATTAATAGTCATTATAAGGCTTGTTTTTTCTACTCTTGCCCAGTAGATGGTACTGTCAGCTTTATTTTTGAAATATTCTGTTTTTAGACTTGATCATTTTAAAATTAATTTCCCCCAAAAAAGTAAAGTTATTTTTAGGTCTTTTTCATCCAGTTAACTTTTTGGGATTTCTTAGACTGGCATTTGTAGATGAACGCACCACCTAGAGTATGCACGTTATCTAGAAATTTGTGTCTGAAGTACGTGGCAGGGAGAAGACCACTTTCACTTTCCTAAACTGTTTCAACTTGTTCAGCCTGGAAAGCATGTAATGATTGCGGACTGTGTGCAGAAAGTAATCTAAGGTGCTATCTTCACCTGGTGGAAGGAATAAGATTTTTCTGACTTGAGTCTGAATCTAGTTTGGCAAAATACACACTCTATGGCAGCCGTGGGCAAACTACGGCCCGCGGGCCAGATCCGGCTCGTTTGAAATGAATAAAACTAAAAAAAAAAAAAAAGACCGTACCCTTTTATGTAATGATGTTTACTTTGAATTTATATTAGTTCACACAAACACTCCATCCATGCTTTTGTTCCAGCCCTCCAGTCCAGTTTAAGAACCCATTGTGGCCCTCGAGTCAAAAAGTTTGCCCACCCCTGCTCTACGGGCATGTTGACCAAATTAATTGTTTGGATTCGGAAATGGAAGGCCTTTTTAAAATACTATGTATTTGCATGCTCATGTATATTTCTGTGAAAAAAGTCTAAAAATTTTAAGCAAAAAGTTTTATTATCCCTTTGAATTTTAGCTTTCATGCTCTTCATCACTTGTTAAAATAAGTAGATCCCTAATGTCATTCTGTTTTATGGGAAAACAGAAGGAATACAGAAAACTTTGAACTTCATGAATGAGAGTAAATCTAGCTGTTTCAAAGAGGATGGGGCCCCTTCAGCCTTTCACACACACACACACACTCTACGGCCAGGCTATTACAGAAACATACTATTTGAAGCTTGCCATGCAGTGAGAGGAAGTTTTCAAAACTTGGACTCAAAATGTCCCTGAAATCAAATGCCTTTACTTTTTAAAAAAACATTTATTTATCAAATTGATTAAGATGACACTGATCAACATGAACAAATAGGTTTCATGTGTGAGTTTCTATGTTACATGGTGCAAATGCCCTTACTTTTTAGTGATAAAATTGGCCTGGAGCTAGGAGACTCGTTCTTAGATACTGCCAGCTATTTTGGAAGACTAGAGGGAAATGTAATGGAGAATTCAGAGAGTAGTGAAAGAAAGAGGAAGTGACCCTTGCTTCCACCTTCCTCCTTCACATCTTGGGATATAATGACATGGATATGCCAGTGATAATTTCTGGAACAGAGATACTCCTTTTCTCTGAACTAGGTGAGACCAACTTATTCCTGGGAAAGCAGTAATTTTTATTATCAAATAAGCTGTAATACAAGAATATAAGTCTTAGCAAAAAAATGGTGTTTGAAATTGCAGGCCATATAAGTGAGCTGGCTATTTTACAGGATGGTGCAGGGTTGGTTGTTTATATCCTTAAGAAGCACCTTGCTGCTTTCTTCTATTCCCCTTCTCCAAATTCCAAAATTAGTAAAATGCAAATGATTTAATATCAGTAGAAAGCTTATTTAGATATAATAAAAGCATAATATGCTAATTAGACCAGATGTCCTTCTGACAACTTTCCAGACAAAGCCAGGGCAGGGAGGGAAGCCCAGGTCCCAGGTGCCAGAGGGAAGCCAGTACCAGCAGCCGGGGGGGGGGGAAGGCCTACTGTTGCACGAATTTTGTGCATCAGGCCTCTAGTCTAGATATAATTGTTTTAGTTAATTTTTAACACATAATTTTTTTTCTTAAAGACTATATAGGCCAGCCCTTAAGTTACTGTTTTCTGAACACTTTTGTAAATTTTGCCTCTTTCTCTACCATGTTGTCACTAGTTTCGAGTAAATGAATTTGGAGCCCTGGAAGTTATAACAGATGAGAGTGAGATGGAAAATGTTAAAAAGGCAACGGCTACCACAACTTGGATGGTGCCAACTGCTCAAGAAGGTAAGAATGGGTGCTCTGTATTGCCATTTCTTTCTTTTGAAAGTTTTAAAGTAAGAATATCTCAGGTTTTATTGTAGGCTGGAACCTTGAAAATTCTGAGTGATCTTCATGTCACATGTGCTTAGGTAAATTTCTGTAACGAAGCTGATGTGGAACTAGCTTTTATATTTTAAAATAACCATTAACTGTCTTCTCTCCTAATGCCAGATCTGTAATAGCACCAGGTTAATTGGAAATTATCCAGTAAATCCATGTAATAGCCTACCCAGGTGATTTAGCCAAAAGCCTGCCACTTTTTTCTCATCTGCTCCGATGGTTGTAACTAACACCTATATGCTGATGACTCCTAAATCTATATCTCCAGCCCCGACCTCTCCCCCGAGCTCCAGGCCCGTATTTCCACCTGCCTACTGGACATCTCCACCCGGATGTCCCACAGGTACCTCAAACGCCACATGTCTGAAATGCGATTCATTTTCTATTTCTTTCTCCCCTCCCCCCAAACCTGCCTTTCTTCTATAACACGTAGTTCAGTTGGTGGTAGCACCAACTACCCACGTCAAGCCAGAAATCTAGGAGTCATCCTGAGTGTGTTTCCCCCCAGCCCCATAGCCTGTTACTTAATCCTCTTGGTTTTTTATTTCCTAAATATGTCTCAGATCTGGCCTTTTCTATCTATTGTCACTGCCACTGGCTTAATTTAGGTCCTACCAACTCTCGCCTGAACTAGTGCAGACATCTCCTGAAGAATCATTCTGCTTCTAATTTCGCCCAGTTAATCCTGTATACTGAACTTAGAGGAACTTGTGTAGATTGCTTCTCTGACGCTTCACCAATTCTTTTTTATCTCTAGCAAAACATACAGAGATCTGGGTGGCCTGCACCCACCTGCTCGCTTTATCTCTTTGCTTTCTGTTCTGTTCTTTGTACTTTGTGTTCTGGCAGTGCCAGCGGCACTGAGCTACCTGTAATTCTGCCAGCACATCCTGTGGCTTCATGCATCCTTGCCTTCGCTCATGCTGTTTCTTCTGGCTGGGATACTGTTTCTCACTTTGTCCAGTTGGTAAATTCCTCTTTGGCTTTTAAAACCCTGTTGAGGTTTTATATCAGAAAATCCTCCCCTGACCTCACCCCAGGCCGATTGACTCACGTCTTCCTTGTACTACTTCTGGAACCTGTTTGTGCTTCAATTACTGCATGTGTCCCTTCTTATTACAAATACTGGTTCTCTTGCCCGTCTACTCTTCTAGACTGTGAGTTCTCTTGGGTGAGGGCTGTACTGTCATTTCCAGTGCCTAGCTTAAATTGGTGCCTGATAAATGTTTGCTGAATGAATGATTAGCCTAATGATTCAGGCGAAAGGAAATGTGCGTTCCTAAACGATTTGGATAATTGTGATTCAGGAGATCTGCTGCATTAAAAGTAAAACAGAGAAACATTGATTTAACCAATTTAGTAAAACAAAATTACTCATCAAAATGTAATAAACATGAAATAACATAGATAACCCTTTTTAAATTTTGTCAAAGACACATCTATAAAATAGGATTGTAAAGATTGACAGTTTAATTTTCTGAATTTAGTGACTAATGAAATTTTCTTCATTTTACTTCAAACGCTGTAGAAAAAGCCTTAGACAAGCTTTTTTTCTGCAGAATTGTTTTGTTATGTAAATGATTTGAGTGATTTCTGCCAAGCTCATCCTCTTCTCTTTCCCAAATCCTAGAATTTGATCATTCATTCATTCAACAAACATTCTTTTATTGTGTTGCTAACAAAATTATTAGAAGAAAAAGTTTAAGTGTATTTTGGAATGTGTTCTGTCATGGTTTTAATTTTTTTTCTCTTCTTTCCATCTTCTAGTTTTTTCAGAGAAGACTGGGATGCCCTTCAGGTTGAAGGAGTCAGTAAAAGTAGAAGGGCTTCCGTTCTGTGAGAACTGTTGTCAGTATGGCAACGTAGATGAATGTCTTTCTGGAGGAAACTATTGCAGCCAGAATTGTACTCGGCATATCAAAGACAAGTAGGTTTTTGTTCCATTCCATTTGCAGAATGGGTTTTAGAGTCCATGGTCATGGCTCTCTGACCTCTGTCACCCTTTCATGCCCTTTCTTTTTTCCAAGACTTTTCCTGTAGAAACACATGGATCTCCATCTCATTACTCAACCTGGTGACCTCAGTCATGTCTGACCTGAGTTTTATTGCCTGTGTTTTACCTGCAATACAACTTCTGCCTCTTTCTTTAGCCATTTGTTTACACGAATTTGATTGTTTCTCAGCTCAGAGTATTTAAAGTTCTCTGGGTCACATACATATTTTGATGATACTGATGTTTATTGAAACACAGTTTTGTTTATATTTGGAGGGTTCTTAGGTAACTCAGCTAAAACTCTACAAATGGAATAAAGCTGATTGGAAATCAACTGAATGAAGACCATAGTGAGTAATGTAATGAATTATGTTACTGCTGATATCAGGGAAGACTAAGAAATACGAGACAGGAACATCAGCTGTGACTGACAGTGGTGTGACTTTGTCATTTGGGGGTTATCTGACAGAATTCAGCATATTACCAAGAAGATGTATTTCTTGCATATAATTGTATGCTATAAATAAATGACTTGACATTTATATTTCACTGGAGTTTCCCATGTATTTTAATTAGCACAGTCTTGTGAATTGTCTGTTTTTGTTGGCCAACTGATATTTTACAAAGTTACACTTGGCCTTTTTCATTTGGACTTGTTATTCTTAATAATTGATAAATCCTAGTTTTAAAGTTGCCCTGAAGACTAAAATATCTTTGAATAATTGATTCTTTTTTAAAAAAAAAAAATTGATTTCAGATAGGAAGGGAGAGGGAGAGAGAGAGAAATAATGATGAGAGAGAATTATTGATTGTCTGCCTCCTGCATGCCCCCTGCTGGGGATCTAGCCCACAACCAGGCATGTGCCCTTGACCGAAATCAAACCCAGGACCCTTCAGTCTGCAGGCCAACGCTCTATCCACTGAGCCAAACCAGCTAGGGCAATAATTGATTCTTTTATTAGTATGTGCTGCAAATGTGAAAGACAAATTATTTTAAACTTGTGAGACTCTGTTTTACATATAGTGCTGGTCTCCTTTTGAAATTAACGTAGAAGCTAATTTCCACTTTCTAACCTTGACAGTGTCACAATACATGATAATGGTTTGACATGTTCCCTACCTATGATATTCTAATGTCTACACATTTATCCTGGTGGTTAAATATTTTTCCTTTGGTGGGTGATGTTTTAAAAGAATTTGCATTGATACTCACCATGTAGATGTTTGATAGGTATTGTTTCCTGTCATTATTTTGGGTTTACAAGCAGCAGAGATCAGAAGGAGGAAAGGGACCTAGGAGAAGACAACGAGGAAGAAGACCCTAAGTGCAGTCGGAAGAAAAAACCAAAGCTATCCCTGAAAGCAGACTCCAAGGAGGATGCAGAAGAGAGAGACGACGAAATGGTTAATATCTCTTATGGGACTACCTGGGAATACGGGGGTGTTTCCTAAGTGGGTAGCACCATGGTCAAAGGCACTAGCTCTACAGCTAGTTACCGACTTCAAGTGCTGCCTTAGCGGCTCTCTGTGTTACCATCAGCACATTATCTACCTATTCTTTCTGTTGCTGTCCTCATCTCAAAATGGGAATTGTAAATAATAGTACCCCTTTCTTAGGGTGAAGAAGTAGGAATTTCTGTGCTTATTGCTGGAGAGAAAGAGGCAACAGTAGACCTTCAGTTTTGATAATGAACCTTTAGTTTCTTTCAATAGCAAGATCCCAGTCCCATTTTAGTAAATTGCAGACAGATCTCATAAAAACTATGTGAATAGATAGAAAATGGCACATCAGTGTCAGGTATATTTAGGGAGAACTAATTCAGAGTATGCAAATTAAAACATAAATGTCTTATTCCTAAAGTATATATTAATGGTTCTTAGGAAAAGAGAACTTTAAGGTCTTGGGGCATTTTCCTTAAGATCAACTTTGAACAACTTTTATTTGCTAGTCACTATTCTAGGAGCTGAGAATACAGGATGAACAGGACAGCAGCGGGACAAGTCTCTACTCACAGGGACATTACATTCTTAGTAAGGGAACATATAATAAAATAAATAAGAGAAATGTCAGCCTGTGATAAGTGCTTTGCTGAGAATTACAATAGGGCTTGAGGATTGGCTATTTTAAGTTGGGTTGTCAAGGAGGCCTACCAGAGAAGGTGGCATGAACAATGTGATCTGAATACTAAGAAGGAGTCAGCTTGGTAAAGTTAGGAGTGAGGAGCCCTCTGGGAAGTGGGGCAGCTTAAGGAAAAGTTCCTACAGTAATGTGCAGCATGCTTTGTTTGAGGAAATAAAAGGAGACAATACAGTCGAGAGTGGAGTCAGGTGAAGCTGAAGAGGTCCAGGCCATGGAGGGCTTTATGGTATACCAGAGTAATGGGTTTTCATTGTATTTTGGGTGTGATGGGAAACCATTGGAAAGTTAAAGACAAGGAAATACTGTGATATAATTTATGTTTTAAAATGATCACTCTAGCTTTGCCAGGTGAGAGCAAAAGTGGAATGAGGGAAACCAGTTAGGATTTTATTGTAGTAGACCAGCTAAGAGGGCTATGTAAGATAGAAGAGGGGATTTGGGATCTGTTCGAGATAGGTTTGCTGGTGTGTGAGGGAAAGAGAATAATCAGGGCTAACTCTTAGGCCTTTGGCTTGAACCATTGACTGGATAATGATGCCCTTTACTGAGGACGGGAAGGCAAGGCTGGAGTGTGGAATCTGGAGATACTTGGGCATCATGAGTTTGAGATGCTTATGAGACATCCAAGTGGAGATCCAGTAGGCAGGTGTATGCATGAGTATGGAGTATGGACTGGGGATATCTGGTAGGCAGGTGACCTTTAAAACTTAGGGAGAGAGATTAGATAGAGAGCAGAAGAGGGCTGGGTTGGAAGAGACACTAGCAAAGGGACTGAGAAGAAGGGCCGGGGAGGTGTGAGGAATATCGGAACAGAGGGCCCCAGGAGCTAGGAGGAGAAAGGGGTTCAAGGAGGCAGGAACAGGATCCCTGCTATTCTACAGAGTAGTTCTTGAAAATGCTCTTATTTTGTGATGACCTTAGGCCAAAAGCAGCATAGCTCTCAAGTTACATATATCCTTACTTTCCTTAAAACTTAGGAAGTGAAATTGAAGAAAAGTACAAAACAAATAATGCTTTCTGATAGCGCTCTAACTTTTTGTTGGTGCCAGTTTCACAAACTTTCAGAAAATCGTAGTTTTCTCTCTTATTGTAGGAGAACAAACAAGATGGGAGAATCCTGAGGGGTTCACAGAGAGCCCGAAGGAAAAGACGCGGTGATTCAGCTGTATTAAAGCAGGGTGAGTCGATGAAGAAAAGGCTTTACTTGCAACTTTATGAAACTTAAAATATTTCATGTGGGTAGACGTTTTAGTTTTAGTTGTAATGCACATTAGGGCAGCTAAAGTATTACTTTGGGATTTTTTTAAATTAAATTTTATCAGTAAAGATTATAGTTTTGAAGAAATAGGTAAGGGAAAAAGGGAAGTTAGTAACTTTCGAATAGTGTCCGGGCAAACACGAGAACACCTTACTTTATTTGAGCATCAAGTAGGTTTCATCTATTTCTGCACTTTTATTAACACTTATGTTCTTGTTCATTTCCTAAGAGTGTAAGTTTTAAGTTTTTAATGTTTTCTCTCAAACCACAGCCTCCTAATATGGTACCTTTTCTTTTTTTTTTCATTGTTCCTCTGGCAACACTTTATTCTCAGAGGAATCCAGTCCTCAGGCCCTTCCCTTGAACACTTGAGTGGATGAACTCCCACCTCATTCAGCATGGACCTCACGTCATTCTCCTAGAGCCCCAGTGTCCGCTGCTGGGCCTTATCCCCTTGACCTGCCACATCGGCCTGGCCAGGCCTTCATGTTAGGTCACTCCCCTTGTGCAGCTCCAGTTCCGCCCCGCCCAGTCATGTTGTCCCTACAAATCAGGACTATGAACCCAGTGTTCCTCTTCTGTGATGGATGCATTCCTTGCTTGTTCATCTTTTAAGCCTTGAAAGAAAAGCGTTTGAAACATTTCCACCTGCCTCAAGCACACAGCCTAACTTTTACCATTGGGGGAGATGGCTTCTAGTTTATGTCACTGAGATTAAAGGGAATAAATTCTCAGTTACTCAGCACTTTGCCTCAAAGATGTCATTAATCTTTTTCTCCCTTCACCTTCATTTCTATTCTCAGGGCCATGTCCCCCGTGGGACCTTGTTTCTTTAGTCATTTACTTTTATTCCTTAGCAATTCAGACTTTTTTCTCTTCATGAGCTCCACCCTAGCTGGTTCAGATCTCATCCCTAAAATACCTTTCCCCCAATTTTGTTACCTATCAAGCTATTGCATTTTCCTTTTATTTCCATTATTTGCCAAGTTAATCTCAAATAAAATTGATGTTAGCTGACACCGTATCTTTATCACATGTATTCGTTTGCTGCTCAAAATCTGTCCCTCACTGAATCGATTTTCTTCCCTTTTACCCCAATTGGCAGCCATTCCCTAGCCACTCAGTGCGCTGGCCATTTCTAGTTTTCAACTTCTTGATCTCTTAGTTTTTGAGCATCCTGCCTCCAGGAGCACCTGCTTCCTGTAATTTCCATGGTACTCTTCTGTTTTGATTTTCTGCTGCGTCTTCTTCCATTACTCTGAGTTCTTCTGAGTCTTCTACCCTCAAGGCTGCAGGTACACACTGCAGTTCACTGCTTCACTCTCATTTCCTTGGAAGAGGAGCCAAGACAGGAGACTGAGAACACCAGCTGAGGTAGTAAGAGAAGAGCCAGGCCTACTGGTATTTAGGGAAGTGAGAGTTCACAATGCACATCTGCGAATGTTTTAGACTTGGAGATTCTGTCATCTTAATCTCACTTCCCTTTCAGGTTTGCCTCCTAAAGGAAAGAAGGCCTGGTGCTGGGCATCCTACCTGGAAGAGGAAAAGGCTGTGGCAGTGCCAGCGAAGCTATTCAAGGAGGTACGGCCGCTCTGGAGAGCGCTGTGTCTGACGGCACGGAGCTGCCGTACTATCTGGAGTCGGCACTGCCATGTCCGCTGTCTGTTTAGGACCTGTGACGGGATGATTTCTCAAGCATATTGTTTTGCATGTGTATATTTATGTGGAGCGGTACCTGCAGGGCCAGCTAGCATCAATACATGACACCTCCCTCTCCCCCAAGCTGTGTGCATAGGCACATAGCTGTACACATGCTCTTTTCTCTCAGCATTTACCAGCTTTCACTCAATTTTAAGAGATATTTTTGCTATTACTAAAAAACTAGTAGATAAAGAAAAACTGGCATGAAATTTCATGTCAACGTGAAGGCTTTGGGAGAATAGAAATGCGTTACTGAGGTTTACATAATATCACAACAAAAATCTAAAAATGAATTACTATATTTTATTAACTATAGTGAAAATATTGTATCATAAGTAATTTAAAATCAGTTAAAGGTATAGACGCCAAGTGTAATTCTAGCTAGGAGCTGCTGCTCCTGGGCTAAAACAGGGTTCAGCAAAGGGCCTTTCAATAAAGGGCCAGAGAGCAAGCATTTTAGGCTTTGTGGGCATCTGGTCTCGGGTGCTACAGCTCAGCTCTGTTGCTATAATGAAAGCAGCCATAAACAATATGTAGGTGAATGAATATGGCTGTATTCCAATAAAACTTTAATTACAGATGGTGGCCTAGATTTGACCCATAGACTATAAGTTGACTCCTGGCTTAAATTATTTAATATTTAATCATAGTACGTAATAAGTCTGCCATCAATATCTTGTTATATATGTAGGAATTTAGGGCTTTTTTTTAAAAAAGTATGACAAGTAAATATTAGGATGAGTTCTCTACAGTAACATTTAATTTAAACAGTAGTAATCACTTTTGAACTTATTCTATGTAATTATTTACTGTAACTTCAGTCCTTTGAGGAATAGCCTTTTAACATTTTTTAAAAAGAAATTTTATATATAGACCCAGCCAGCATGTCTCAGAGGTTGAGATAAGCAATGTATGTAGATCCAAATCCTCTTCCCCTCTTAAACCAAATAAAAACATATGTCATTCATATTGTTTTTTGGACTTTGCTTTTTTGTTAACTTAATTTGGAAATTATTCCATCTCAGTTAATTATTTCCTTTATCATTCTTTGATATTAATGCATAAAATTCAATCTTATAGCTGTTCCATAATAATTTAAGCTGCTCCCTATGGATTGACATGTGACAAATATTGACATATATGACACATACATATATATGATATATGTGTCAACCTTTAGGAAGCGCCTTAAGTTATTATAGATTAGACATAAGAAGGAATACTATATGTACATATGGAAGATAGATACACGAATCTTTTGCCATGTAAATGTTTTAATGAATAATTTTGTACACCTGCCATTTTGCACATATGGTTATCTCTGTTGGATAATTTCCTAGAATTAGAATTGCTGAGCTGAAGAAAGTGTTCTTTTTTAATGGATATCATGAGATTGCAACTTATATCCCTACTAGTGATGTCTGTGTGCATGTTTCCCTAGAGTCTTGCCAACAGTGTTATCAAACTTTTTTATCATTACCAACCTGATAGGTGAAATATATTTTTGTGTAATTTTTGTATGACTCTTATGAGTGAAGATGAGCATCTTTTCAAATATGTAAAACATTTAAGTTTTCTTTGATGTGACCTCTTTGTAGTCTTTATCCATTTTCCATTGGATCATGAGGTGATCCTTGTCTTTTGAATTTTTAAAAGTTATTTATTTATTTGGTTAAAGACTTTATTTAAGAATGGTAATTATTCACAATTTTAATTAGACATTCAGGATAAAATACTAAAACTGCTGTCATTTTTCATTGTAGTATCAATCCTTTCCATATAACAAAAATGGGTTTAAAGTTGGCATGAAATTAGAAGGCGTGGACCCTGAGCATCAGTCCGTGTACTGCGTCCTCACAGTGGCTGAGGTAAGCTTTATTTTTAAAGTAACATGGTGACTATGGAGTTTTAATAATGGGAAAAGATGCCACTTGTTGAAGACATGCAAAGCTCAGGCTGCTCCCAAGTCATTATTTGAGAAAGAGGACCTGTTGACTTCTCTGTGTCTGTACTAGCCTTGGTCTGGCTGGATATCACTGCATGTAGAACTTTATGAAGGACAAGAAGCCAGCACACAGACAGTGTGCAACAGGGCAGGCGCTCTGGGACTCCGCAGCAGCCGTGTGCCCTATTCTGGGCTGGCTGCTTCCACGCCAGCCCCCCACGGTGATGTGCGAATGAGAGGGGATGTGTGCATGTGGGAAAAGTATTTGTCGCCCCGTATCCATGCTCCTGATGTAACCAGGGATGAAGCCAGAACACGGCAGCCCAGCCTTTCCCATATACATAATAGCTTTTGCCTTTGGGTTTTGTCATGTGTTTGCCTGTGTTTGCTGCTGTTAATGAGGGGGCTTTGATGAACATAAGCTGTATCATACTGGATGTCCATGCACACAGCATTCTGCGTGTGTTTGTTTTTTAATTAATCAACCGCCACCTATTTCAGGTTTGTGGATACCGGATAAAGCTGCACTTTGATGGGTATCCTGATTACTATGACTTCTGGGTTAATGCAGACGCTCTGGATATTCACCCAGTTGGGTGGTGTGAGAAAACTGGCCATAAGCTCCACCCTCCCAAAGGTATTGTCACTTTTTGGTTTCATATTTTAAATTCTATAAAAACATTTTTACCTGTTGATTTAGAATTTTTAAGAATTCAGTCTCTATAATTCAGATAGGCCCAAATTCAAGCTTGATGAGCAAATACATTCATTAGAGTGAAAGGAAAAAAAAGTAGAATCCTATTCAAGAGAATAAACTATGTCCTTGTACTTATTTGCATATAAAATAACATTTGCATGATACTTAATTTTGACTACAAATAAATTTTAGCTACAGATTTCTATTATATATATATATATATATACACACACACACACACACACACACACACACACACACTTGGAAAAGCTGATTTGAAAAATTACTTCTAACCCGTTTACAAGATTAAGTTTACTTACTCATATTTTAATGTATATGAAATCTCAAGAAATCACGCGTTGAATATATAGATGTCAATATTTAGCAGATGGGAAAGGACAATATAACACTAAAAATTGGTTTAGACGGTGGTTGAACTAATAGCAATTATTTTTTTACTATTGAGTTCTTTACAGTCTGCCAATAATTTTGCCTGTTTCATGTTTACATAAAGATCCGAGAACAACAGATACCATCTTTCAGTCCATGTCTTTGTTTAATAATGGCATATTTCCTTCCTTTTTCAGCTATTGCAATAGTAGTGTTAACATGATACAAAAGATCCCGGTTACTAGTTTGATATTTTGGGCCTGTCTCATGGTTACTGTTTTTTAATGGCATCCTTTGGTTTTAAGTGAAAAATTAATGGCAAGATGGTATTTTCAAATAGCTGAGAGATTAAACAAAAGCATATAGAAAAATATGAGGGTAAAAAAGAAAATCTGTAAGCCTTTATGTGAATTGACTGCTTATATATGGTGACTTACTAGCTGTTCTTTTCATGCTTTTAATGGAAGTAGCAGAGAGCACACGAGCAGAGAAGATAAAATGCTAAATTTCCTTTTTGTAAGGAAAGGTTGGCTTTATCAATATTAAGCATGAAATTGTGAAAATTAAGGCAAGGACATTTCCATTATTCTGATTTACCAGCATGCTTACTTCATAAGTCTTGAATTATCAATCCTGTGGTAATAGGTCAAAAAGATTTAAATTGTTGTATTACTATTTTTCCAGCTTCCCATTAATTCTTACACGTTAGTCTCCTGAAATAGAGTAGGTAAAAGAAAAATAAAGAATTTGACTATCCCAGATCACTAGCCTACTGCTAAGGAGTTCTACCTAAATACTGATAGACATGCCCGGGTAATAAAAGAAGCATACCTAAGTATAATATGTATTTACTTCCTTAACCTTTTCTTTATATCCATTACTGTTTATTCAGAATTGAAAAAAAATAGTATAATTTGCTGTAAATAAACACAACCTATGTATAAAAATACATAGTTATGAAATATGATTTAAATTTTGTCTGTTTAAAAAAACCACTTGGCCCTGCCAGTGTGGCTCAGTGGTAGAGTGTCAACCTATGAACCAGGAGGTCACAGTTCAATTTCTGGTCAGGCACTTGCCTGGGTTGTGGGTTCGATCCCCAGGGCAGCCGATGGATGATTCTCTCTCATCGATGTTTCTGTCTCTCTCTCCCTCTTCCTTCCTCTGGAAGTCAATAAAAATATATTTTTTTAAAAAATCACTTGATCTCCTGATTTTGGCATGTTTGAATTACAGATAAAAATGGGAATGGACCCCAGATGGTTTAGCTCAGTGGATAGAGTATCAGCCTGTGGACTGAAGGGTTCGATTCCGGTCAAGGGCACATGCTCGGGTTGTGGGCTCGATCCCCATTACGGGGCGTGCAGGAGGCAGCCAATCAGTGATTTCCTCTCATCATTGATGTTTCTCTCTCTCCCTTTGTACCTGAAATCAATAAAAATATATATTTTTTAAAAAAGTGGGAATGGAAAACTAAGTGTGAAATATTTTGCTATGTTACTAAGCCTGTTTATATCTTCTTGCCCTAGGTTATAAAGAAGAAGAATTTAATTGGCAGACTTACCTGAAGACATGTAAAGCTCAGGCTGCTCCCAAGTCATTATTTGAGAATCAGAACATAGTAAGTACATCCAAAATACTTACTCAAAAAAAAAAAGTGGCTGTGGAGTGTAGGATAAATTCCAAGTGATAGCAAGAAACTAAAATTTTATTGCTTTGGTAAATAGAGTACTCTTACTGTAATTAAATTTTAAAATTAGCTTAAAATCTTCATAAGTAAACTTTTTTATAGCCATATCATGGTTGTCTTTTTTTATTGAATGGTAGCAGGCAACATAGTACAAAATGCAGGTGTAATTTACAGTTAAGGTGCATAAAAAATTAAATTGATGGCATACTTTATTATTACTGTCATCTGTTCAGGGTGCTGCTACAGTGGGATTCACATAGTGAGACGAGTAGAGCCATGTGTGGATTTGTATGCTTGCCTTCACTCTAGCTTCTAGCTTTATTTTCAGTATAACAGCAGCACAATCTGATGTGTGTGTACTTTCTCCTTCTTGACCTGTATTACGACTTTCCATTACATTTGACATCTCTGAGGAAGCCTGATACCTTACATTCTTCTTCCTGGCCCAAGTTCTGATCCAATTGGAAAGAACAGAGAGCAAGCAGGTAGAAAACCAAAATATTGTCTTTGTAACTGGTAAGGGCTCAGTTGCATGGCCTATATCTGCTATCAAATGAGCTTCTTGCTTCTGAGCCCTAGAATTAAAGAGATTTACTGGCCCTTCCTGCCTCACCTCCCAAACCCAGGAGCATTGGACCAGGGCATACACACCCTCCCACATTTATAGAGTATGACCTGTTCCTTCTTGCAGATTCACCAGTCAGGTAACAGCGAGTGTGAATGTGGAAAGAGGCAGTAACGTTTCCATAACATTCCCTCCAAATGAAAATATGTATGAGGACTAGGGAAGATGTTCTTCCTCCAACCCTACCCCCACCCCCGCCCAAATACCCTCCATTTGGGAAATGATTTTAACCTGTTGTTTTCAGCATCAGTGGAATGGCTAAAAGATTCTCTGATAAAACTGAACATAAGCCTGGTCTAATTAGAGAACTGAAGGGTGTGTGTGTGTGTGTGTGTGTGTGTGTGTGTGTGTGTGTGTGTAATAGAAATCAAATGAGCCATGTTAATATTTTAAAGCATCTTAATTGAATGGATAGTTTAATTGCTGGGATGTAAATTCTGCATTGTTAGTAGGTATTTTCTGTCAAGACAAGGCCAGTTAGGTGGAAAACCCAGTGGCCTGCTCTCACTACTCCGAGTTTCCTCAATCTGCCTGGTTCTCTGATGAAGACTTCAGTTGGGGATTTGATTAACTGCCTTGAACCGTCTTCTTAAATTCCGTGCCTTGCTAGCACACAACTTAATCTTGTGTTATGTGATTGGTATCTAAGATGCAATTAATTTTTGTAGTTTACTCTACCTTAGAATATTCAAATATTTATGGTCAGAACTCTGATAGATAATTTCAGGACTTAAAAGTATGCTACAAAGTATCTTTGTAGCATCAGTGACTGCTTCTTTAATTTAGCCAGGACTGAATTCTAACATTTTCAGGTACTGGGCCATCTATAGTTTGTAATGAAAATGGTATATTTATACTAAAAAGAGAGACAGCATCTGTTTTGCTTAAAGTAATTAGGATAGTATCAGTATTTTTCAGAAGGATTTTATTTTTATTTATTTTTAATTATATTTTTATTGATTTCAGAGAGGAAGGGAGAGAGAGAGATAGAAACATCAATGATGAGAGAATCATTGATCGGTTGCCTCCTGCATGCCCCACACTGGGGATCGAGCCTGCAACCCGGGCATGTGCCCTGACCTGGAATTGAATTGTGACCTCCTGGTTTGTAGGTCAACGCTGAACCATTGAGCCATGCTGGCCGGGCAGAAGGATTTTATTTTTAGATGATCAGAAGTATTGTGATGGGTATAATTGATGCCCAAGTACACTTCTCTGAGATTAGGATACTTTTCCTCACAAAAGATTATAAGGAAAGTTTACATTTTACTGCCCCTTAAGCACTTAAATTTTATTGAATTTTTTATTATCTTAGCTCCATGTCCCAGATGGCTAATAATTTGTGGATTTTCTTATATTACAAACTATTTGAATAGCTGTATATATTAACAGCCAGTTCATTTATGAAGATGACCTACTTTCAGTACTCTTTTGAGAAATCTTTTCAGAAATGGGAATGAATGTGTACTGACTCACACATTTTTAACTTACTAAGTGCAAAATTAGTTATTTTGTGTAAAATAACTTTCATTGTTAACTCTATAATCAAGGAAGAGAAAAACAGAAAGGGAATTTATTTGGTGAATCAGACTTGCCTAACTACTATAGTTGTCTAAGGTACCAAAACCGAGTTAATATTAGTTAAACTCTGTGAGGCTGAGGGTGTTTTAGTTTTGAGTTCCACATAGTTAATTGGGACAGTTAATTGGGTGTAGCAACAGGGCATTTTTCTTATTGCTCTGTTGGAAAGTGACCCTGCTGTAAAGCTGATGCTTGATTCTTAAACGATGTGGACCCAGCTGGTGGACGCCACACCTTCACCCAGAGATGCAGAGAGGAGGGTGCGGGTCTCACTGTTGAGTGTGTGCTCATCTCTAATTAAATCTGTGTGTTTCATAGACAGTGATCCCATCAGGCTTCCGAGTTGGAATGAAGCTTGAAGCTGTAGACAAAAAGAACCCTGCGTTTATCTGTGTTGCTACGGTAACAGATATGGTGGACAATCGTTTCCTGGTACATTTTGACAACTGGGATGAGAGCTATGACTATTGGTGAGACATTTTTCCATTGCAGTGGGTGCTTTTTCTAATTTAGTGTTTATCCAGGTAAACCAGGTGCATGGTTTAAAAACAATCGTAATGCAAAGTTTGAACAGAAAATAAAAAGCTGCCCCACTCTTTTCTACTTCAAATCTTTAACTTTTTCCTGTTCCCTACGTTGTATATTTCTAAATGGCACCCTTTAGTTCTACTTTGTGATTTGTCTTTTAGTTGACTTCTTGCTGTGGATGTGCACCCCATGCCAACATGTGCTCACACGTGACACACACAGACTCACAGCTTCCCCCTGCAAGCTTGAGTGTCATCCCTTATTTTTTAAATAAGTATTTTCATCTATCTCTCATATTTTTATGCCTAGTAGCTAATTTAACCATTTACAATAACTGAATACAAATATAGTAATTGAGAAATATTGTTTTTAATCCTTATTGTGTTTGGATATACTACATAATATAGTAAGAGCAACATATTATAAAATTATAATTATAAAATAATTATAATAAAGCCATTATATTTTGATTAAGTAATTAAAGTAATGATTTTACATATCGAATTCATGTTCATTGATTATTATAATTCAGTTTCCTGATGAAAGGCATTTCTGAAGTGTTTAGTTCCTTCTAGAGAAAACTTGAAATGATAAAATTTTAGAGCAGTGATAGATATCTTGGATTCTTAGACACTCATCAGTTTTACTTGCATTATTTTAAAAAAGAGATATTGAAAGTCATTTGCTATTCAATTTTAAAAATCACTTATATGTTACATATGCTTTTTATAGAATTTTTAAGATATAGATAAGTAATTCTATGTTTACATCACAGAGTCAATTACTTTTGAACATCTTGGTGTGTTTTTCCCCAGATTTTTTCTCCAAAGCATAATAATTTTTCCTCAAAGAATATCTTTTTATTCAGTTTGCAGTGAAAACCTTTGTTGAAATATAGACCATTTCAAGTATATACCAAAGTAGAGTAATAGAGTGATTCTCCTGCCGCCATTACACAGCACCAGCACTTACCAATTTATATCCACTCTTGTCTTCTCTGCATTCTTACTCCTAAAATCTCAATTCCAGGATTGTTCTAAAGCAAATCCCAGATATCATACCATGTCATCTGTGAATATTTCATTATGTAACTTCTAAAGATAGAGATTCTTTTTTTCTAAATATATAATGTTATAAATGCTATCGTGTTACTAACATATGTAAACATTCCACCCAGTTGTCTTGAGCTTTATTTTAGTTTGATGGTTCTAGGTCCAGATGAGGTGCACACTGTGTGATTTCTTGGATGTACCTCTTGACCTTTTTATTGATTTTAGAAGGCGAGGCAGGGAGGAGGGGGAGAGAGAAACATCAGTGTGAGAGAGAAACATCAATCAGCTGCCTCCTTCACACCTCCTACTGGCAATGGGGCCTGCAGCCCGGCATGTGCCCTGGCCAGGAATCGAACCAGCAACCTTTCAGTACAGGTTTTGGCACTCAACCAACTGAGCCACACCAGCAGGGCCTCTTGATCTTTTCTAAAGTACAGATTCCAATTCCTCTGTATCTTTTTCTTCTCCTTATAACTGTTAGTGAAGAGACCAGGTTGTTTATCCTATTGAGTCTCCCATAGTCTGGGTTTGCTGATTGAATCATTGTCATATTGCTTACCATGTTTTTCTGTTCTTCATATTCCCTGTAAATTGGTGGTTTTGTGTCATTTAAAATTATCTGTATTGATCTTCAGTGAGTGAATGGATGAGAAACTGTAAATTTAGAAATGATGTCAGTCTGTCCCTTCTGGGTCAAATACACGTCTCCCCACCTGTGTTTAATGTGCCGTGATGATGGCAGTACCAACGTGATGACTGGGGTCTAGTCCTTTGATTAATAGATGAAATTTTAAAGCAATTATTAGAGGGATTGATAAAAAAAGAAAAAATAAGAGAGAACTCAAGGACATGGACAACAGTGTGGTGGTTGCAGAGATAAGGGATGGGTGGAGGTGGAAGAGGACAGAGAGAGGATAATGATGATGGAAAAAATAAAATGATTTGTTGAAATGAGAGCTTTTTGTTTTTGAAGTTCTGATTCATTTAGGGAGAATGGTTTTGTTTTTAGGTTTTGCTTGATTTAAACAAAATGGGTGAATGTTTAGTTATTTTACAGGGCTCTTAAAGTGTAAGTTGCTTATTTGACATAAGATCTATTTGACATACTTCCGGGTAATAGTGATGAGGAAGTCTAGAAGAATTTGTTTGATGCCTAGAGAGTAGGAAGGATCCTGAGTTCTTTTTTAGAAAGAGCAGAGAGAAAAAAAATGATCTCTTGTAGCTCTGATTTTGTACTTTAATGAGCACAAAATAATCATTTTTAGGATGGAATGTACTCTGAGGATTTACTTATACTTAACTGTTGACATGAAATTATATTTTGTTAATTGTCAGAAAAAGAATACAGTGTTCTCTTCATCAGTATGCAATTGAGGCACATTGAAAATAGCTTAAGTGCGCTGGAATTTCTCCAGCCCACTTAAATATTATGTTCTTTGATCTTTGAATTTTGAAATATTTTTTTTCTGCATAAATTACTTAAGTACGTAATTGAGGTTACAAATTGATTGCCTTTTTCAGTTTAAAATAGTTTGGAACTGAGATTTTGTTTTCTTCTTTGAATTGGATAATCATTTTATCTCTTTACCTTAGTAGAAATTTAAAAACACACGCACATTTGTGATATTACATGTTTGGTAGCAATAAAACATCACTTTCTGAGAGGAACACAATGTAAAATTTAAATCTATGTAAGATTGAAATCTTTTTTTAAAAAGGAAAATCGTATATATTAGAATAAAAACTGGCTTACCTCCGGGTTTCTGTTTAATTCTATACCCTGACAGTCATTGGACTTAGAATCATCCTTAATATCACAGGACATTGAACTAGCAAGGACTTTGAAGATGTGGGCGGGGAGGCATCGCAGTGCGGGTGCCCCGTCCTCCAGGCAGGGGCCGCCTCTTCCCCTCCTCATCTTCCTGCTGCCTGGGCAGGGCTCCTCTCGGAGCACAGGGAGAAGGTGTCACTCCCTCTGCTCCCCCAGGCACTGGGAAGGAATGTAATTTTTAAGAAATGTTCTTTCCATAAAATCTCGTCTTTTGGGAACCAGGAAGGCATGAAAAACAGGACTTGGCTGACTGTTGAGTTGACAGACCTAGAGGCATGAGGCTGCAGCTTCAGCCGTTGAATTCGGTCTGGTGCTCCTGTGAGTCAGGGCGAAATGCACCAAACAGACCCATGAAAAAGAGAAGCACTGAGTGAATGAATTGGACCAAACAGGCGGCTGCAGCCTTTTACTGAGTGTATTTAAGTGGACAGTGAACATTTTTGTTTCTTTTTGTTGTTTTTTTAGAGATGGAGCTTTTACATTCACAAATTGAGAGTAACAGTAATTTCTAGTGTGTCCTCAAAGTAATGTTTGCAACATGTTGTCAGTATCTTAGAGAAATGTCAAAGGTAACAGGTTTGCTGTCATCTGTTGAATTTGGGGAGCCCCCTTGGCGACAGGAATGAGTTCCCCAGATGAAAGAAACCCAGGCGGCTGCACTTCAGCCCCGAGGGGCTCAGGATCTGGGGAGGGAGAGGAACACTCCGATGTCTGGGCTGCAGGGTAGGTGGTGGTTAGTGCTTGGTTATTAGAACCAGCTGCTTGCTGGCAGTCGGCATGGGGAAGGAAGGGCTGGCAGACTCCGGGAGAGTTCTTCAGGAAGGCTTCTTGGAGGACGTGGGATTTGTGCTAGACCTTGAAGGAGGATAGGAATCGGTACTTAGATGTTGCCATGGAATTTTCCTGGCCCAGGAAAGCTTGTGTTTAAGCCCCCGGTGGGTGGGAGTGGGGGAGAAAACAAGGGTATGTTTGGGGAATGGCAGCCAATCTAGTCAGGTAAGTGGCTTAACTCTTGTACAAACAGGATTAACAACAATACCTATCTCATAGGATCTCATAGCTCATGTGAGGATTAAAGGAAGGGTTTTAGAAGCAGACACCAATTTGCAAAGAGTAAAGAGATGACTCTAAGGGGCATCAAGCAGCTGGAGTTTGGCCTGAAGGTGGAAGTGGATATGGCTGAGGGGAAGCCCACCTCAGGAGGGTTTGCTGCAGAGTCTGAGCCTGGTTACAAGCCACGCTGTGGAGGGAAAGGGGGAAGCTATCCAGACTGTGGACAGTTGGGGGCACCAGGATAACCTTGGGATAGGACAAACTCTCTTCCCTCTCAGCCTAGAGAAAATGAAGAAATTAAAGGAAAACACACTAGGGCAGTGGTCGGCAAACCGCGGCTCGCGAGCCACATGCAGCTCTTTGGCCCCTTGAGTGTGGCTCTTCCACAAAATACCACGTGTGGGTGCACACGTACAGTGCAATTGAAAATTCGTGGCTCATGCACAGAAGTTGGTTTTCGGAAAGGAGGTAGACGAAACAAGTATACAAGACGAGTGTGGATGGGAGAGTTGGAAGGGGTCGACCTCAGCGAACGTGCCTCAATCAGATTGAGGACGTTTTTAGCAAAGGCCAGCTTAGGAGTACCCTAATTAAGTTAATAACAATGTACCTACCTATATAGTTTAAGTTTAAAAAATTTGGCTCTCAAAAGCAATTTCAGTCGTTGTACTGTTGATATTTGGCTCTGTTGACTAATGAGTTTGCCAACCACTGCACTAGGGTAATGAGATGGCATCTTTATATTTTCCAATTGGGTTTGTTAGTTTTAGGGGTGTTTGTTTGTTTGTTTTAGAGAGAGTGTAAGGTAGAGAGAGAGACAGAGAGAAACATCAATGTGAGAGAGGCACATCAATTGGTTGCCTGATGCATGCGCCCCGACCAGGGCCAGGGATTGAGCCTGCAACCAAGGTACATGCCCTTGACCAGAATCAAACCTGGGACCCTTCAGTCCACAGGCCGACACTCTATCCACTGAGCTAAACAGGGTAGGGTCCGATTGAGTTTTAAGAAGGAAATGCATAGTATTGAAAACAGCTACTGTGGAGAATGGGATTGGAAATGAATTGGGAATCAGAGGAGAACTCGCCGACTCAGCCCAGTGCGGTCCAGGGGTTGGTAGACGGAGTGGAGTGATGGAGGCTGTGAAGTGTCAGCACATGTGGGAGCCAGGAAAGAATGGCACCGGAAAATAAATTGACAGCCCTCATGCTCTGGATTTAGGGAGTGGGAGAGCCAAGTGTCCTGTGTTTCTTCAAGAAGCTAAGCCATTATTGCTTGAAATGAAGACTTTGATGTTTTCCTTATGTAAGTGTCTTGAAGCTGTTTTTGTCTCTCTGCCTAGGTCTGTGCAGCCCAGTGCCCGTGTGCATTGGTTTTATTTAGCTTTTGGCTATGCCCGCTAAAACCAGGATCTTTTTCTTTTCAACCCGAGGACTTGGTGAAATCACTTAACCTCTTTCTGTTTCCATAAAATAAGGATCTTAATGTCTACTCACTCTTCCTACAGTATAAACATGGGTTTTTCATAAATTATTATTTCCATTATTATCTACCAGTCTGGGTCTGACTGGATTTTAGCAGCCTTCATTCATGATTAATTTGCACTTGTGAAATGGACTTCAAAAATTTTTTTTGAAGTGGATTTCTTTGATGATGTACTTAGACCCACCCCCGCCCCACCCCCACCCCCCCAAAAAAGAAAAGAGAGAAACAGCAATCAAAGATTTGGCAAACTTTTTACATTAGCTGTTCTTCATTGTATTTCTTCTTGGTTACATTTCTGCTTTTGAACACTAGATGGGACTAAGATGACTTGTGTTACAGTAGTAGCTGAAAGGATTCCTCAGCATTCCGACTTCTGAATGAAGTCCTGTCTGCTTATTGAGAGGGTTTAAGTTACCTAGATAGAGATAGGGCTGTTTTCATTTTTTCGGTTGATATGGCTTCCTTGTTTATTTTAAATGATGACTTTGAGAAATATTTAGATAAGATTAAAACCTTATTATATAAGATTCAGGTAATACAGGAATGCATGGTCAAAATATACCGCAGTATTTTTCTTATTTGCAACTTATAGAGAAATCTAATAAAAATCAAAAGAATTAGTAATGTCTAATGCTCTTACTTTAATCACCATGAGCCTGGCAGATAATTATAAAAAGTACTTGATAATTACCTGGGAAGAAAAAAAAATTAAACAAATGTTACATGTTTCTTTTGTTCTTCTTCTTTTTTTTTTTTTCTCATTTTAAATGAGCCCTCTATGAATTAACAGCTGCCCCTAAAATAAAGGTAATGCATCATTACTAATAATAGCCAAATGACTGTCTAGGAAAAGAATAGTATAGCTGGAAATAGAGCTCCATAGCTTTGTCTGTACAGTTTATAACAGAATGCATCTAAAGGAATTGCGTATTAAAGTATATTTTATGAAAATATATATTGTAAGAAATGTCCCAGTTGCTGTATGAACTTGTTGGCCTAATAGTGCTTGTTTTCCTTTCACATTTTAAAATGACATGCACATAAATCTTTAACCCTAGTGTATAGGTTAAGAAAAATAATACTGTTCCCTGGTGGGTAGCTCCAATTGGTAGGAGCGCGATCCATACACCAAGAGATTGCAGGTTTGATCCCTGTTGGGGGCACGTATGGGAAGTAGCAGATTGGTGTTTCTCTCTCACATTGGATGTCTCTCCCCCCCCCCCCCCCCAGTAATCAATAAACATATCCTTGGGTGTAAGGATTAAAATATAAATAGTGTGAGGGAGGGTGGGTAGGAGATAAATGAATAAAGGAAGAAAAGAAGAAACTTTAATTATACACTTAAAGGGATTTTCTACTAAAATAATTTTGAGAAAAATCAGCATTAAGTTGGGTTTACATAAACTCACCTTCGGTTACTCTTCACAGTTCACTTAGGAAGGTTGATTTGCAAAGTGGTGCCTATATGTTAATGTAATTCACTTAAATTTTTTCTTAGAAAGTTCTTTATTTTTATTGCTTGTTTATTCACCAGAAACCCCAACCATTATTACCTTCTTGGCTTTCTATCTTATAGTTCCCCATCTAGATGACTGTGTTGAGATTTTCTGATCTTTTAGGATGGACTCAACAGATCTGGTTTATGAAGCAAGATTGGAGTCTTTGGCATCCTTAGATCAACATTTCCTAAAGTGTGTTCTGCAGAACATTGCTGTTCCACATGATGCTAACGGGTTGCCCGCCAAAGTAGCACTTCACAGTGAAATATCTGTAGGAAATGCTGGGTTAAACCATTTGAAACTGGTTTGTTTATAGCATAACTTCACAGTCTAATATGCTAATGATATGTTACATAAATCTCTAAGAGGGAGATATAGTATTTTCCTAAAGTATTTTGACTTTGTGTTTTTTTTTTTAACTTCATTATGCCTATTATCTTTGAGAATACAGATGGGAAATGTTCTACCAACTTTTAAAAAAAGATATTGTGATATGCCTCTATATACCTATTTATTTTGTAATACTACTAGAGACCCAGTGTACAAATTCGTGCACCGGTGGGATCCCTAGTTCTGGCCTGCGGGATCGGGCCCAAACCGGCTTTCCCACATCCCCCGAGGAGTCCCGGATTGCAAGAGGACGCAGGCTGAGGGACCCCATTGGTGCATGATCGGGGCCAGGGAGGGACCGCGGAAGGGCTCCAGGGCGTGTCTGGCCCATCTCGCTCAGTCCTGATCAGCCAGACCCCAGCAGCAAGCTAACCTACCGGTTGGAGTGTCTGCCCCCTGTTAGTCAGTGCATGTTGTAGTGACTGGGCGACTGGTCAACTGTCTGCCCCCTGGTTGTCAGTGCACATCATAGTGAATGGTTGAGCAGCCTTAGTATATCATTAGCATTTTATGCTTTGATTGGTTGAATGGATAACCGGATACTTAGCATATTAGACTCTTATTATGCAGGATTATAGTACTCGCGTGAATATTGTGTTTGCCTGGCAAAATCCCAACTCTGGTTGCATCCAACTTTCTGCCTGCTGTATGCCTGTGCCTAGGCAATTGAGTATAGCTGGAGAAAGAGGTGCATGTGCGTGTACACACACACACACACACACACACACACCCCATGCTGATTGGTTTGACTTCACCTTCATGACCACTAACCTCAAGTGAGCCCTTAGTTCTGCCCTATAATTCTACTACAGATCCTTGCCCAGTCTCCCAGACCACTAAATTTCACTCCTATTTTTCCTCCTCAGATTTCTCACAATCCCCCCCTTACCTATTCTCTCTCTCAGCTGGTAATCTTGCTTCCTGTTGCATTGAGGAAAAAGACACAGTCAAAGGGATGTTCGCATGCTTCCAGTATCTCGTCTGCTGGGTACCTTCCTGATCTCTGCCCACAGACAGGCCCTTCTCTGTAACTGCAGGATCCCCCTCCCTCCCTGAGTCAGTTCTGCATAAGTGGGCCACCCTTGTCTATTGAATTATTCCTACTAGTACCTAAGTGGAGCAGGGATTTTTGTTTATTTCCCTAGCTGTTGTAGTCTTAGCACCTTGGATGGTGCCCTGATCATGGTGGTTGCTCAGCATATATTTCTTGAATAAATGGAATAATATTTCCCATCCTTTCAAAAAACATTTTATTTTGAATTCATTCTACTAGTAAACTTCAAGTTTGTAAAATAGTACAGAGAATTTCCATATGTGCCTTACCAGCTTCCCCTAAATATTTCCCAACTTAAGAAACAAACAAGCAAGCTTCCCTTTTGCTATCTAATGTCTCATAGCTCTGCTTCCTTGAAGAACAGAACTCCTTAAGCATATTTTCTGTACTAGCTGTCTCCATCTTTTCTTCCTCCTTTTAAACCCACTCTAGTCAGGCTTTTGCCCTTTCCTAGCCCCATTTCCCCTAAAACGGCTCTTATCAGGGACCCTACTAATGGCCTTTACATGCAGTGATCAGTTCTTGGTATTAATATATTAGGTGAGTGAAAGATCCTTTGGTTTAGCAATTTTTTTCCAAATAAGATTGATTGTAATAAGGTGTTCCCAATCTCTAATTACTGTTTTTCTACTTTTACTAGTACTTGACAGTTTATCCAGAAAGTTATAATTTTTAAATTTATATAATCTACAGGTGTGAAGCATCCAGTCCACACATTCATCCTGTTGGTTGGTGTAAAGAACATAGAAGAGCACTTATCACTCCTCCAGGTTTGTGTCTACTGTACGTCTAATATTGTTCTCATATATATCAGAAGTCGGGAAATGTTTTCTGTAAAGGGCCAGGTAGTGAATGTGCTTGACTTTGTAGGCCATACAGCCTCTCTCACAACTATTCAGTTGAGATGAAACACAGAGGCAGCGACAGACAGTATGTAAATGAATGAGCATGGTTGTGCTGCAGTAAAACTTGATTCGCAAAAAGAGGCCGCCCGTCTGCAGGCAGTAGAGTGCTGACACTCAGTACACCTGAAAGTATATAAGCGTTGCCTTAGTCTCCAGATTCCCTACCTTTGCCTTGTTTGGAAAAACAGCAAGTTCTGTTTTTAAAAGACCTTTCATTTCTCAAGTGGAAATTCATTTAAATATATTGTCTAACCATGGAAGTGAATTGTCTAAGGCTTTGACGAGCCTGGAGAAACGGGCATACGGGCAGCCTTTGTGGGTGGGGCCTGGACCATCCGAGTCAAGGTCAGTCCTGTCAAAAAGCACAATGTGCATGTCGAAGTGGGATTCGGGTTTTTTTCCCTAGATCAGAACTCTGCATTCACTTTTCCTTTTTCTGTTGTGATTCCTGGTTCCGAAAATAGGTTTCACAGCTTTATGGTAGTGATTACTACCTCTCTGCCCGCTGAAGTTGTCAGGTGCTTCAGCTGTCTGCCCCCAGCCTAGTGCCGTCTCAGCTTATTCACTCTCTCTTTAACAAGGAACAGTGGAACTGCTGATAAATAGTCATCTTTGTCAATTTGTGTTTATCTTCATGTGCTAAAGAACAGATTCTGTGGCTTCACAATAATTAAGACATTGAGTTTCTGAGCATCACTGTTTAAGGTGCCATGACCACTGTCTATATGAAAAGGCAGGGTCATCAGCTCCCAGCAGCCACTTGGCTGTAGAGGTTGCTTGTGGACACTCATGCGAGTAATGAAGATGACCATTATCTCAGGGAAAGGATGGCTCCTTGGTTTGCTGGGAGCTGTTGGGTGGATATTGCCCGCTGCATGAAAATAGCAGAGACTCAGCTTGGAGCTTCAGATACGTCTCTCGTTCCATCCTGACAGCTGGTTCCATTTTTAGGCTTGTCCCCAGTTCCTCATTACTGTATCTCACTGAGTGTCTGGACATTTATTCTCAGGGGACCATCCATTCCTGTGATGGGTGAGGCAAGTCCCTTCCACTTTCTGAGTTTTCTCATGTGAAGAAACAGAAGCCTATGTCCTTTACTGATTTACCGAGCCATTTTGAAGATGAAAGAATATTTCCATAAATCATGAAGTGTTAAAGCTAGGTATTAGCAGTTTTATGGCCCAAATGTGGTGCTGCCTGGAAGACTTCTAATCAGTTCTCCTGTGTCCTGTGACTCATGTAATATTAGGAGCTGGTGAATAATGATCACCACCCTCACCATCCAAATTGCTGTGAGGATTCCTTTATTTTTATTTATTTTAATCTGTACCCGAGGATATTTTTCCATTGATTTTTTAGAGAGAGTGAAAGAGAGAGAAACATTGATGTGAGAAAAACACTCCGATTGGTTACCTCCTGCATGTGCCCTGATCAGGGCTCAGGCCAGGAAGGAGCCTGCAACCAAGGTATGTGCCCTTGACTGGAATCAAACCTGGGACCCTTCGGTCTGCAGGCTGACGCTCTATTCGCTGAGCCAAACCAGCTAGGGCTGAGGATTCCTTTAGATTTCCCAATTTGATATCAGTCTTATTTTTTTCCTTACCACCTTTTTGGTCGTGATCAAGGATCTGGTAAATAAACAGAACCAGTGAACAACAGATTCTTGGTTATGTCTTCACAGCACTGGGTTAGGTACCTGGGAAGGTGTGGTGTAAGGCATGATTGCTGACTTTTGATGTGAGGCAAAAACCTTTCATGGACTTTTACCATTCATTAGAAAAGAAAATATATAGCTTTTTGACAAATTAAGAAAATACAGAATTGCATGTTAAAAAGTGCCAAACACACAACATTGTGAATATAATCAGTGCCACTAACTATACAGTATATGGTTTACCCTAAATATGGTTAAAATGGTAAATTTTATGTGATATATGTTGTAATACACACAGTTTTATTAGCTTTAAAAGAAAACCTTCCAAGTGATGCGACTGGCATGTAGGGCCTGTACTGATGTTACTCTACTCTTTCACTCCATGACATAAATGGTGTTCTTTCTTAGGTCCCTTTGCTGTGGGCACATGCCTGGCTTTGATCTCTGATATCAGCTGCTCTCTGAAACCCCTGCTACTTTGTGGATCAGTTCCCTGAGCACTTGCTGGCCATGTCTGTGTTCTGTCTGATCACATAATAAGTCTACTGTTTTCTCCCCCTAGAATTAAAGTCTTCATGCCTTTTAAAATGTTTATTTTGAATTATTGAAATTATATATTTAAGACCTACTTAAAACAAAGTTTAGAGTGAAAATAAAGATAATCACTGTGTCTTTCCAGAAAAACCTCTTTGCCTCTATATATGCACATACATGCAATCAGTTTTAATGTGACTTCAATTGTGGAAGATGGGGTCCTTAAAAATATGTTGTAAAATGTTTGTGTACACAGAAATCCTTGCGTATTTACTCTCTAAAATGTTTATTTGAAAATGATTTTAAATGTACAGAAAAGCTGCAAGAATAGTACAGAATAGTACTGTAGACCCATTCAAGTTTATCAGTTGTACCAGTGATGGCATTTATAGCAGAAAGATCAAGCATTGCATTTAGTTGTCTATCCCTCTAGTCTCCCTCAGGCTCTCCTTGACTTTCATAACTGCAGTGTGTGTGAAGATTGCAGATTAGTCTCTTCGTTCTGTAGAGCGTTACTTCATCTGGGTTTACTTGGTGTTTCCTCATGGTTAGACCCAAGTTATGGGTTTTTGGCAGGAAATCATAGAAACAAGGCTGTGTTCTCCTTGCATCCTTTCGGGTGGCACGTTGTTGTCAGTTTGTCTCAGTACTGGTTGATTTTTACCATTAATTGATCAAGATGGTATTTTCTAGGTTTCTCCACCAATGTAGTTTATGGAGAGATGCTTTGAGCGTCTATAAATATCCTGTATCTCACTCCTATGTCACTCACTGATTTTAGCATCTGTTGATATTTCTAGTATGAACTATTATTCTGAAAGTTGCTAATTGGTAATTTTTCTTATTTTATTACTCCTTGTACATAATGAGTTGATATTCCTATGCCAAGAATAGCTTTCTTGCCTTCCCATTTATTCATTTAATTTATTGGTATCGGTGGAACCCATAGATTACTGATGTCATCAGTGGGTTATAATTTGTTACCAGCATTGTTTTCATGTCTAGATTCTCTCAGATTTGGCCAGTAGGAGCCGCTTTTTAAGCTGGTTTCCATATCCTTTTGAGAAAGTCCTACTTTCTGGCTCAGTTAGGCTTATCTTGTACCTTCCCTGACCCAACCCTAAAGGCAACCATTTCTCCCAGTCTGTATGGTTCTTTTTACTAGAGAAGGATATTTAGAAAATAAGATCTGGACACTAGATGGGCTCATTGCTGTTGGGGTGTTGCTGCTTCCATCTTCTCAGTAGACATAGGAAATATGTAAATATATAACAATTTATTCATCGTTATTTTTATGTCATTTATACATATTAAAAACCATGAGTTTTTATTATTAGCTCTAATTCATATTTCACAATACTGAGTTTATTCTAGTTTTTACTTTGCGTAATTATACCTCTCGTTTTAGTCCATGAGAAATCTGGCTTCTGTTGTTTATAATATGTTTACTGGTGTTTTCAGTCCCCTTTATGTAATCAGTTTCGCACTCTACTGGACTATTGTTAATTCTTGCTCGGGGCTACCATTCATTCCTGCCTGGGGCTGCCTAATGGAATTTGAACCCTGGAGAAAGGACAAGGGGGCAGGAGGGAAGAAGGGCGGTTCCTTTTAGACATGGTATATTTTGTCATGTTTGTTTTATCTAACAATATGACAATATATCTGGAATATATCACATATTAGTATATATAAATCTACCTCATTCTTTTTAATAAATTCTTTTATATGTACTATATAGCTTTTTGCACAGTTCTATAGTGATGGTCATTTAACTGGTATTTACATTTAACATCTACAATTGTCTTTGTAATACATATATGAGAATTTCCTAGAGTATTAGAAGTAAAATCGCAAGATTAAAACGTATTTATGCTTGTGTGTTAATGTGTTTTTGTATGTGTCTTGTGTTATAATACTATTCTTACCTGAGACTGTAAATTGTACATATACATATAAAATTTTCATTTAAAAGTTGATAGGGAAATCATGATCACGATGAAAGCAATTTCATTATTATAAATAGTTCTGAATGTTGAACTAGTTTAAAGTAATTATGTGTAATAAAAACATAACTTCCTATGTTACAATGATAGCATTTCATACTATTATAGGTCAATTTGTGGTTCTCACTATCATTTTGGTTAAACCTAATAGGATTTAATTTTTTTCACTCTTAGGTTATCCAAATGTGAAACATTTTTCTTGGGATAAATATTTAGAAGAAACCAATTCTTTGCCTGCTCCTGCAAGAGCTTTCAAAGTGGTGAGAGAGTATATTTCATACTGTTTGACTAATTTGTGTCGGTGATAATGTTCATTCATTGAAATTTAAGAACAGAAAGAGATAGTACTGATGAATTGGAATAGGAATGGGAGGGAAACAGAAGGCCAGAATGATGTTTCTGAATTTTTATAATTTTGAAAGTCAAATTGTTACTGTTGTTTTTGTTGTTGGCACCTAAAAACTACTTCCATTTTGTACTTTAAAGCTCCTTGGAAAATAATTCTGTTTGAGCTGGTGTGGAGTCAGTTGTTCGTAGAACAAACTTCTCTTTTTTAGCTGTTCTTTTTAAATTGATTTCACACAGAGTAAGGAAGGAGGGGAAAGAGAGAGAGAAATATAGATGTGAGAGAGAACATTGATAGGTTGCCTCTTGCACATGCCCTGACTGGGGATCAAACCTACAACCAGGATATGCTCCCTGACCGGTGATCAAACCTGCCACCCCTTTTAATGGGTGTGTGGGAGGATGCTCCAACCAACTGAGCCGCACTGGCCAGGGTCAGCTAGGTATTCTGAAAGACCAAGCAGGACAGGGCATTGTTTTCTAATGTAAATTATATTCAATAATTCCTTTTAATTTGTTCATGGCAAGCTGAGGTGCTATTTTTATTTTGTTGCTATAAATTAGCATGTTTACTTACCAAAATACAAGGTCATCTGCTTTTATATTATCTTTCTATACTTGGGTCATTGTTTCTTGGTATTAAAATTCAAAGTAAACCTCATTTCTGTGTAAGGGAAAAATAAGAAATAAAATGTATTTAAAAAATTTTCCCATCTCAAAAAACTTGCTTCATAATTTATATTTTCCATGAATTTAAAGGTAAAAAAAGATATGTTAAATATAAACATTTTTATGTTGCGTAAGCATTATAAACAATACTTTTCTTTAAATTGTCCTTTTGTGTATAAGTTGCTAGGATTTTTAATGATTTCTCTAAGATTTCTCTAGTTGGCTTTTAGGTGCCGTATTAATTCTTTTGTATGCTGTACATAATTTTTGCACTTAATTTTCAGAGAAACACTTTTACTTCACCCATTTTACAGAAGAGAGGTGTGAATTTCAGAAAATTTAAGATATTTGTCTAACATAGCAAATAATTACCTTGCCTTCTACTAGTAGCCCTAGCGTTTTCAGAGGTTTAAGGCTTTCTGCTGACCATTTGAGTCCTTAATCTCATTCCTGTTCCTACTAGAGTGATTCGATATGGCATGTTTGTTTTTTTGTGTGTGTGTTTTTTTATATGGTATGTTTTGAGTGCTAATTTTCTTCTTTCAAAGATACCTTCGGCTTTATGCTTTCATTGCCACCTTTAATCTTCATGTCTTAATTCTGACATTTTAATGTTCTCTTAAAAAATACTTTTCATGCTTGTTGATTTTTGCCAAGGTAGCTCCCTCTGATGAGAAAAAAAATTCTGTCTTCCCTGTGGCTAATCAAATAATCAAAATATTTTTTAAATTATTTTTCTTTTTTTTTTTTTAATTACAGAGAGGAAGGGAGAGAGATAGAGAGTTAGAAACATGGATGAGAGAGAAACATCAATCAGCTACCTCCTGCACATCTCCTACTGGGGATGTGCCCGCAACCAAGGTACATGCCCTTGACCGGAATCGAACCTGGGACCTTTCAGTCCGCAGGCTGGCGCTCTATCCACTGAGCCAAACCGGTTTCGGCGAATAATCAAAATATTTTTAATTTCATCTTAAGATTTTTTTGCTTTCTATTTGCTTCTATAGACTAGGTTTGGCCATGTGATGTGGGATTGTGCTTTTGATAAGGGAGGGTGAAGTCCAAAGCCATTCTTGACATTTGAGGGTTTGAAAGGCTGGTTTTCTGAATGGCTCATCTTTTTTAATTTAATTTTTTTTTTTAATTCTATTTTTGCGACATAGAGCCTACCTTCTCTTCCCCTTAATTTCACTGTATAAAATTTCCTTTTGTGGCAGAAACCTCCACATGGATTCCAGAAAAAAATGAAGCTGGAGGTCATAGACAAAAGAAATCCCATGTTTATTAGAGTGGCCACAGTTGCAGACACAGATGATCACCGAATAAAAGTGAGTGCTTTCTGTTGTGGTTCTGCTTTGCCTTTTGTTGCAAGACGTCTTGGATGGAAACTTCAGCAGAGCTTTAATTTGTAAAGTCCTACAATTAAATTAGTAAAACCACAGGGCTAGGCAAATTAAGTGTCTGTGCATCTTCATAGTCAGTATTTACCCAGTTTTTTTCTTTAATCTATGTAAGTTTTTTCTTTAATTATGACTAGCTTTTAATGTCATGTCTACTTTCTCCAAACACACACTTAATATAGTAAAAGTGAGTCATAATTAAGAGAAGACTTCTTACGTAGATAATACAGACATTTCCTCTGAATAGAATAGCTTACTATCCAGTAGTATGCTCTTTTTAAAAAAAGTTGAAGGCTAATGTTATTTGATGGGGTATGTTATATGTAGACTTTTCAGAAGGATATCTTGTCTTTTAATACAGGACAAGTAAAGAGAAATAATTTTATGAATACAATCGGTTTTTAGTTAGAATTGGGGTACTAAAAGCCGAGTCCCTCTCCTAAAAGTAAGCAGATGTCAGGAGGATGGGTCTGGCTTGTCGCGTCTGAGTGTGATGAAGTGAAGGGTGTCAGCCGCTTCAGGGGAGGAGTCAGAACTTCTAGTCTTGGTTTCTGGTTTCAGCATTAAATTCGCCACAAACTAGAACAGTGTGTGTTCTGCTTGCTTCACAGGATCATTTAGAATCTCTGTTAGGTATGACAATAGTTTTAACCACAGCCAGATGTTAGATTTACAAGGTGTACAGGGTAACATTTGTGGTGATAATCATGTGAGAGGTTTATGTTATTATCATTTTGTCAATGAGGCTGGGGCTAAGAAAGACTATAATGAATTCCTTATTGATTAAGGGCAATGGCAGAACTAGGTCACAGTCCTAAGCTGTAGAAGTCTAATTTTTTGCTAAAAAAATCAAACCCTTAAATATCTTTAGTGAGATAATGTATAAGAAAATAAATTGTAAAATAACATGAAAAATCTGAGTATGAGGTTTTTCAAATGTGGTATTTCTATAAAATAGAAATTTTAACATTTAATTCGGTATTTTTAACATTATATAATGACTTAATATTAAAATTTTATAAATAATGGAAGATCTAAACCTTTTTCAAATATATTTTCTTGTTAGTTGTCTTTTATTTTATGACTTTTGAGTTTGGAGTCTTGCTTAGAAGGGCTGTTCCACTCTATGATTACCAATACATTCACTCATGCATTCTTCTAGAATATTTATTGTTCAGTTTTTAATGTCTTGTAAGGAGTAAGAGATTCATAGACTTTAAAAAGGAAACCTGGATAGCAAACTTGATTTAAAACTAAAACATACAGTAAGGGGCAAAAGTAGATGTATAGTTGTTTATTTGGAAAACAATATAATAATCTATATATATAAAAGCCTAAGCGACCGTCCAACCGTTTCACCATCTGACCGGTAGCTGTGATGTGCAGTGACCACCAGGGGGCAGACGCTCCGACTGGTATCTATGACACGCACTGACCACCAGGGGGCAAACGCTCAACGCAGGAGCTGCCGAGCTTCGGTGACTTTGCAGTTGCAGTTCTTGGGTGATGCACCCAGAACCAGAGAGTAGGGAGCCTGACTCCGGGGTGCATCACCCCACAACCACCCTCTCGCAATCTGGGTCCCCTCAGGGGATGTCGGAGAGCTGATTTCGGCCCATTTCCCATAGGCCAGGCCAAGGGACCCCACTGGTGCATGAATCCGGCTGAACAACCAGTCACTGTGATGTGCACTGACCACCAGGGGGGCAGACGCTCAACACAGGAGCTGCCCTCTGGTGGTCAGTGCGCTCCCACATGGGGAGTGCTGTTCAGCCAGAAGCCGGGCTCATGGCTGCCAAGCGCAGCACTAAGGATGCCTGACTGAGGACTTAGGCCCACTCAAGCTTCAGTGGGGAGTGGGTCTAAGCCCTCAGTCGGACATCCCTGAGGGCTCCTGGACTGGAAGAGGGCGCAGGCCGGGTTGAGGGGACCCTCACCCCCCCCAAGTGCACGAATCTCTTGCACCGGGCCTCTAATTAATAAATAATGATACAAGAATCAACTCTGTTTCATGTATGCACAACTGTAAACCTACTTTATGTCCCATCATGTATATAGCCTGTCAGTATATCTTCCACCCTACAAGATAAAAAATACGTAATACTACAAGATATGCAGCCGTTTCTTAGTGACCATGCCTGAAAGATCACCAGCCCTTTTACCTGGGTGCCCAATAAAGATGGTGACGCTGACCACTCTGTAAAACCTCTTGGAGAGATCTTGTAATTATTTATGAGGGGAAAAAATAGCTAAAATGCATTTGATGGAGGGGTATTATGTAAAATGGGTATATTTAATAGGGCATTGCATTTTTTAAAAGTGTTTTAAACATTGTTTTAGGAGAGTTGACATTTTTTTTTAAAATATATATTTTATTGATTTTTTACAGAGAGGAAGGGAGAGAGAGATAGAGAGTTAGAAACATCGATGAGAGAGAAACATCGATCAGCTGCCTCCTGCACATCTCCCACTGGGGACGTGCCCGCAACCCAGGTACATGCCCTTGACCGGAATCGAACCTGGGACCTTTCAGTCCGCAGACCGACGCTCTATCCACTGAGCCAAACCGGTTTCGGCGAGAGTTGACATTTATACAAAAGGTCCTCCTGCCTCCCCACTCTCCCCTACCACTGTCCCTTGCTTTCCTGATTTTTGCATTACTTTAGCAATATTAATGAGCGTTTGGTGTTGCTTCTATGAACATGTTAATTACTCAAGTTGCTTATTGGGAAGTATATGTAACATACCTGTGGAAGTATTGCCAAAAAAGTGCCTTTGACAAGACATTTATTGATGGTTAGATAATTTGAAGATAGGTCAAAAGTGCTCCTTTTCTCATAGTGTGGATGAAGTAATTTAAATAATTGAAACAATTTATTTGGTATTAAACATACTATATAAGTTAGAAGAGAATGAATATGGTTATGATGGGCAGACCTGAATTGCTAAATTTCTTTTTTGTTATCCAGGTTCACTTTGATGGCTGGAATAGTTGCTATGATTACTGGATAGATGCAGATTCTCCTGATATTCACCCTGTCGGCTGGTGTTCAAAAACTGGGCATCCTCTTCAGCCTCCTTTGAGTAAGAAACCCAAGGATAACGAAAAATGTTTCCATTTTCTTGTATAATGCTTAATATTTCCTTTTCCCTTATTCTCTTTTCTTTATAGTTATTCATATGGGAAACAATGTGATAATTAATAAATAATTATACTATACATTTCTTCTCTATGTAATTCTTTTCTCTCTTACTACATTTTTAATTGGAGCAAAAATAAAAGAAAAAATTTAATATCTGAAAAAGTAAAGTGAGTATAGACATTCTTTTACTTTTATTTAGAAGTGGTCATCACCTTTTAAAATTAGTACTGAATTTTTAGAAGGCAGTTTGTTAGACTATCAAAATTTAATGTATCATTGTCAATATCCTAATAGTGAGTTATAATATAGTTTTGCAAAATGTTGTCATTGGGAGAAACTGGACAAAGTGTACAAGGGATCTCCCTCTGGCCCTGGGCTGTGTGGCTGAGTTGGTTGAGCATTTTCCTGTGCACCGAAAGGTCACCAGCACAGTTCCCTATCAGGGCACATGCCCAGGTTACAGGTTTAGTCCCTGGCCAGAGTGCATACAGGAGGCAACCAATTGATGTTTCTCTCTCTCTCTTTCTCTCTCTCTCTCTCTCTCTCCCCCTCCTCCCTTCCTCGCTCTCTAAAATCAAGAAAAATATTTTTTTAAAGGGATCTCCCATACTTATGACTGCATGCGAATCTACAATTATCTTAGTGAACATTACAGTTTTTATTTATTTTTATTTATTTATTTTTAATATATTTTTATTGATTTCAGAGAAGAAGGGAGAGGGGGAGAGAGATAGAAACATCAACAATGAGAGAGAATCATTGATCGGCTACCTCCTGCAAGCCCCCCACTGGGGATGAGCCCGCAACCCGGGCACGTGTCTTTGACTGGAATCAAACCTGGGACTTTTCAGTCCGCAGGCCGATGCTCTATCCACTGAGCCAAACCAGCTAGGGCAACATTACAGGTTTTTTTAAAATTATTTTTTTAAGACATGGTATTGTTTTCAGCATATTTAATGTAACAAGACTTGGGAACAAATATGGGTTAAATAAACTGTGGTGCACTCATACAGCAGATACTATACAACAGTCATAAAGACTATTACTATTGAGATGGAACAATTTATAAGACATGGCCTTTAACTTAAAGACCAAAGAAGAACCTTTCAGAATAGTACACATCTGTGTTGTCATTTCATGTGGCAAAATAAAACAAAACAAAAAACCTGATACATGTATTGGGTGTATCAGACCCACATCTAGGAGGGTTCATATTAACTGAGTTTGAAATGTGGAAAGGGAGTAGCTTGACTGGGATCTGTAACTGGTTTTTTGTCTCCAGTGTGTTTAAAGTTTTCACAGTATAAGATTCATATATTATGTTATTTACTTGAAAAAAAATGTTTAGAATCTTCTCATTAATTCAGATTAGGTATCTCTGGAATTTGTGACATTTTCAAAGGGATTTAGATGAAAGTTTACTATTGAAAAAAGACAAAATAGTGTGAACAAAGTCATAGGGGGAGCACCTTTAGAAGCAGAGACTTTGAAGACATTTTTACTTCTATAGGATCTCTTTCTTTTTTTTGTTTATATGTACTAATTTATGTATTGATTCCGAATTGGATTTTTCCACTCTTACAATCTGATTAACTTTATGCTCCTTCTTTCTTTTTCCTTTTTCTCCTTTGCTTTGTCATAGGCCCCTTAGAGCTAATGGAAGCTTCAGAACAAGGTGGATGCTCAACCCCAGGATGTAAAGGGATTGGTCATTTTAAGAGAGCGAAACATCTGGGCCCTCAGAGGTATGGGGTGCTGTGGCTCACGTGGGGATTCCTTATCTGGTCAGATAGGGGGTGTTATATGTACAAGATAATGGTTTTCATGTATACTGAATAGATGTGAACTAATTTTAAATTCAGATCCATAGGAATTGTGGTTACCATGGTGATCCTGTAAAAACCCAGAGCATATCTGTAGTTAAATCTTCCTGGGAGAGAATGTATTCACAGTTTAAAATAGATTTACTCTAGTTATTTGGCTTTTGTGACTAGTGTAGACACTTAGCTTCTGAAACAGTTATTTTGGGTTGAACAATAATGAGAAGAAGGTAGGTCCTGTTGGAAATATTTGTTTGGTAGAACAAATTATATGATTGGGTGACAACAATTTGAATACAAAGAGGTAATATTGTTGTAGATTAGTTAAGATCACAAAAAGCACAAATATAGTCAAACATGAGAATGTGTTGATCAAAAAAGCATTTTTCTATATTTTCCTCTTACCCCTAATTAACTTAAAAAAGAAACCAAATTTATACATTTGAAATTTGATGTATTATTTAGGCAATCTGGGGTCTTTTTTAGATTTTTAAAATTTTTCATGAAATACTGAGAAATTGCTATTATTTAAGTGTGGTTATTTTTAAAGAACAAACGTATTATCTATGTAGGTATATGTTAAAGTAACTGTTCTACCTGCTTGCTAATTGGATTGCCCAGTAAGAAAAACGATTCCTTGTTTATCTAGAGTGTACAGGTTGTGAATCCAGGTCTTTAAAACATCTAAACATTGCTCTGGCTGTTTCTCTGAGAGTTAATAGGAGTAGTAAAATTGGTGTGATTATTTTCTTCTTTATATAGTTTCCTCTTGCATTTCTACCACCTCTCTACAGTGCTGCTTATCTTCCTTTTGCAAACCTCCTCCTGAGTTATTTTTATGAGGTTCAGGATGTTCTAGAGTAAAAAGTCTGAGCAGAGAAAGGGTGATGATTCCATTTGCAAATATCCATTTAGAAACCCTTTTTGTTGTTTGTATGATTGCAATCCAAAAGTTATATGATTAATTTAAGCTGAGTTAAAAATACTGCATCTTAGAAGTTATTTACTATTCCGAAGTAAAGAAGACTGGATTATTTTCAGACATTATGTAAGCCTAAATGCCAGAAATAACTCATTAACATGCTGAATTTCCATTAGATATTTATAAATTCTTTTGTTCAATAAATGTTTTTGAGCAGCAGCAGTTTTTTTCCCTAATAGCTAACATTTATTGAGCATTAATTTGCTCTGTGAGATATTGCACTGATTGTTTTACCTATATTAGATGACCTTCAAATGACCCTAAAATACAGAACTGTTACTGTCTCTGAATTTTTGAAGAGGCCACTGTGGCACTTGGAGGTGTACTGACTTGCCTAACTGACAGCTAGTTGAGGAGGGAGCTGGGAGCAGCAGTCAGTGTAACTCACGGGTCTGTGCTCTTGGGCACTTTCTTCTCCCTGCCTGTGAAGGCCCTGCTCCATGAATGAGTCCCAGACCCAACCCTCAAATATCTCATGGACAAATGGAACTATATATAAGCTGTACATAATTAAAATAGAGACACAGAATGGTAACTAAATATGGAAACTTAGACACATGTATCTATGAAGAAAAAGACATTTTATTGGGCTGCAGTAGAAAATTTTTAAAAAGATACATTTTGGGCCTTCTGGGAAGAAAACCCACCAATGGCAATGTCCGTGGTCTCTTTTGGAGTGCTTTTGGACCGAGCCAAGAGTTCTGCCTGTCACTGCCAGGTTGTGGTGGAGAGTCGTTCCCCCACTACCGCCCCCATGGCCCTGGCCACTCCCAGGACCTCCTTTCCCCAACTGTGCTGTCCTTCCACTGGCCACACCCCCTTTACATGGAAGACTTTATTGAGACATGTAATAAGGCAATATTTCAGTGTAATTAGAACCATAGTAAATAATTACTTATTTTTTTGGAACAAGAGAAGAAGTAGACCTTACGCCTTAAAAGACATGCATTGGTAAAGAAGCTGTGTTTAGGGCATAACTGGTAGGTCTGTGCATAAGTCTGCCTAGAGCCTCAGGGAGGAGGATGCAATTCAGAGAACTAGTGGGTCGTTAGCTCCTCCCCAAGGCCGATCTTCCTTGTCCTCAAACCCTTCCATGGGCTTTTCTTAGTCTCCTGACTCTGATCTCCTATTTACAACACTCGGAGCTCTTTATCTGGCAGGATATTAATTTTTAACAGACACAGACTATTTTCCATTTCATTAGTAGACTTGTGGAAAGGCTGCTGCATCATGGATATGCTCTGAAAGGCTCATTTCACTGGCACTTATTTTTGTCCTTGCTGAGAATGCTGTGTTTAAGGAAACATAATGAGAAAACTCTCTTTGGATTAATTTACTGAGAAACTGCATAAATCAAAACATGCATTCTTTGCGTAGATAACAAAGAAAATTTCTCTCTTAGCAAGAATACTCAAATGTATGAACATGCAAGCAAAGGCCTATGTTTTGACTAGCATTTGTTGTTGGCTTGTCTGAAAATTGTAATAGTTGGGTTTGATCTAAGACGTGTTTGAAATAGGACATGTATCTCAACAGTGGAATTTAGAACGTAGTGTTTTTAACTGCCGAAATCGAAATGATCAGTAAAAGAGTTGGATGTGGATACAGTATTCTCTCTCTGGGCAGATTCAGTAGCCAGATGGCCTAATTAACATTGGCTGTGTCCTGGTGTTTTCCCTTTGCTGATTCATTCATTTGGTCTTCTGAGAGGTCAAAGAATGGGAGGAGTTTAAAGGAGAACTAAAGTCATATAAAAGTCCATATTCTGCATATCTCGTGCCTAGTCTCCTTTCATCATCATATATTTGACCCCCTTTACCTTCTTCATCCTCCCCCCGAGCTCCTCAAACAAAACAAATTATGTTTTAAAGATAACTATTTCATACTATTTAATCATACATATAAATACATTTAACTTGTTCAGTTAAATTTTGGAATTTCATATTCTGTAGTCTGCCATTTCAGTTGGAAGAAGTGTTTTCTAATGGGAATGTTCTATTCTTTTTCTTTTAATATTTAGTGCTGCCAGCTGTCCTTATTCAGAAATCAATTTAAACAAAGACCGCATCTTCCCAGATCGCTTAAGTGGGGAGATGCCTCCGGCTAGTCCATCATTTCCAAGAAATAAAAGGACAGACACAAATGAAATCTCCTCATCTCCTGAAATCAGGTAATTTACGTGATGGCATTAGTGTTATTTAGAAGTCCTCTGGTAGAAAGAGGTTTTCTGCCTTACGTGTTTTTATGTTCTATGGTAATACTTTCATGTACATTATTGAAAATACACCCCATTAAGTGTGAAAGGATGGTGGGGATCAGCACTTGAACTTTTTTTTAATTAAGGGAAGTATTCACACAAGCACATTTAAGTCAGGCAGGGTTTCTTATTTCTTCTTTTAGTGGAACTTGGTTGGTGTTGAATGAATTGGTCAATATTTATATAGAACCAGCTATTGTTACAAAGATGGCAAACTCCTTGTCAACATTATTTCTTTTTAATGGTCATTATATACCAAGTGCTTACATATACCTTACTTCAAGTACCTTAAAATGTTAATTGTACTATAAACTCAGTCATTTGGTTTTGATTTCCCTTCTAGAGTTGAGTTGGGATGTTTTCGCCTCAGTGGATTATATTAGGTAAAGAACTAAGCTATTTGTGACATATCTTTAAGTATGTGGTCTGTGCCTTTATATTACCTGAGGCCATTACTGAAAGAAACAGCAGATTAATAGAAAGATGCTCCATCATGCTTAAGTTTGGGGTTTCTTTTATGGAGCATTTTAAAATCTAAGGCACATAGTTCTTTGTTTATTTTCATATTGTACTACTTCTGTCCTCATGAAAGAACAAGTGGATATTTGGATTACTGCATCTGGTTCTGAATTCACAGCAGTGTTATGGAGTAGTGGCATTTCCAGCATCAATATCCTTTTAGACAAGCAATTTTGCCCTATGCATGGGGTAACCTCTTTGATTATTAACAACAGTGATGATTTTTTAAATCCTCCAAACCATGACTAATATGACATGGCCTCATTTACCCAACCCAGCACACTAAAATGAGGATATATCACTTAAAGAAATTTACCCTAAGACAAATAAAAGTACTAATTCACAGAGTAGTAATTAGAGGTACAGAGTTCATTGACTCACTAGGTGGGAAGAATACCTAGAGTTTTAGATTTTTCAAAAGCCATGATATTGTTTAAAACATCAGCAAAATTCTCCAAAGGGCCGGTAGTACCAACTTGCAGGCACTTTGCTAACTGTCTAGACTCCGGGCCAGATTCCTGGGGCCAGAGTCTCCTCGGGGCAGAAGTAAGTGACACTATTAATTTATCTATCATGGCAGCACCTGGATATAAAGCAACACCAGCATATTTCTCATTCTGATGACCGCCCAGCATCGGAGATTGGTGAATGGGATGGCACAGTCAGCGCCGTCAGCATCCAGTCCATTTCCCCTGGCCACTCCACTCCCACTTTGGCACGCAGCTCCTGACTTCCCCCTGTCTCACCTGTTCACTCTCCTGCAGGATGAGCCTGGTCTGGCTGCGTTGCCCGCCATGCAGCAGGGCAGATGTGCAGGGGAATTAGTGTGTCCTGCCTTCCCTGCACCTCCCTCTCTGATGAAGGGAACTGCTGTGTAAATAGCCCAGCTCCCTCACCCCCATGTGGGAAAACTGAGATGTGTGTTCCACAGACTCCCAGAGTTTCCCCAGCAGGCCTGTGCTGCTGCTGTCCAGGGGGTAGCCAGTACAGCAAGGAAGCTTTCACTGCTGTCCCTTCCCTGTCTCTCCCTCACCCTCCTCCCATCCCCAGTCCTACACAGATACTATTCCTCACTCCCAAGTAAACCACTTGGCAGTCAAATCTTCGCTTCAGGGTCGGCTTCTGGTGCTGCAAACTGTCTCTTGCTGACTCAAAGGGCATTAAAAAAAAAAATCCCAATTTTAGTAAATTATTTAGAATGATGCAAAGAAAAGGTATTACATCCTGAGTGGGAAATTACATCCACGTGAGCAATGCTGATGGGAAAGGAAGACAGAGGTAACCTGATATTACGAGAGTCATCTCGTTCGAGAGCTCTATTCAACGTGTAACCTGAAAGCAGCAAAGAAACGGGCCAGCATTATTTTAAGGGCCAGCTCACAGGCCACCTGCTCAAGACAGACTCGTGGACAGCTGCTGTCCACAGCAGCGGTTCCCAAACTCGGCTTCAGGTCAGATTCCCTGGGGTCTCACAAGGTTCAGATTTGGAAGCCTGGCCCACTGGAATCTTTCAGTAGAGCCTGAGTCTGCATTTTAAAAACTGACCTGGGAGTAAACCTTCCAGTGACTGCATTACTCTTAGAATTTAGACCCTAAGTCTGGATGTGGCTCCTGCCTAACTCCCCTGCTTCATCTCTACCAGGCTTTTTTTTTTAAAACGTAATGCTGCAGCCACGACATCTTTTCTCTCTGCCTACAACCATCTCCCACCAGCTCGTCTCTCATCTTGCCGGCTCCAGGTTAACGCACTTCCTCAGGGAAGCTTCATCGTCTCCTCTAGACTGGCGCGCAGGCCCCTCATTCCTCGCTTTCCTGTCTCACACGTGATGCCATTGACGGTTTTCCACCAGCCTTCCCAGGAGACACATCTTATATAACGTCAAGGCCACTGCTCTATAACCTTTTTGTTCCAGTAAAACGGCGTACTTCTTCAGTTTTGTAAGATCTCCAGGCTAGATATTTGAGGAGGAATTATTAAATGATGTAATAATTTAATCACTGATTCAGGAAACATGCAGTGCACCCCAGTTCATGTTTAACAAGCACCCCCCAGGTGATGGATGCAAGTGATCTATAAACCAGGCTTTGAGAACCGTTATGGACTATAAAGACTTCTCTGGAGGAACACTTCACAGTGTATTACCAGCTGAAGAACATCGTCATGTATCCCACATAGCCTTATTCTCATGAAATCTACTCTGCAGCTGTTCGTAATTATGTTTTCTATATTAGGTGCTAACTCTAGTAAAAGTTACTTAATGTTTTAAGCTCAGAATTAATGTTTTAACCATAGAAACGCAATAAAGCACTTAACAAATACCTGCTAAATGCTTGTGTTACCTTGCAAAGCAAGTAAGTGCCCATTGCTAAGCTGAGTGCAATGAAAAATTTCAGCCTGTTCACTTCATGATAGGCCGTTAAATGGGTTTTCATGTTGTAGGAGCTGTTTTCCACTCTGAGAATTGCATAAAGCAGTTGTAGAAATTGTAGCTATCGCTCTGATTTATATTTTTAGGATGAATCAAATTTGTCACTCACACCAGGAACCAGTCTGTACCCTCAAGGAGGGCTCTATTAAACAGATAGGAAAACAAGCTAACATGAAAGATGAAACTATAAGCATATACAAATTTATTTACTTTTCAAAAACTGTAACATCAAGTTAGAATACAATTAATTTAGAGCCAACAGTTTTGATGGATTTCAAAAGATTATGAATCTTCAGGAACATTTTTTTTTTTTGCTTCCAAAGATTTTCTGGGCCTGAGAGTTTGACATTGCTGATTAGAGAAAGTCATTTCAATGAGTCGTCATTCCTTGCCTGCTATAAAGTCTCTTCCCCTTTTTTGACAACTGGCTACCAGATATGGGTTAGTAGCTGTGGAAGTTTTAAAATATTTCGGCCCTCGGGAATCTCAGTCATATTTATGCAGTTATTTGTGTACATCAGAGAGAAACTCAATTTTAGTTAAAACACTCAGTTCTGATGCCAGCGGCTGTGACATCAAGGCAACCATTGACAGTGAAAGAGACCATCGCACTATTGTTGCATGCCTTGGAGGTTGCGGAACAGTGTAACAGGTTCTTGTTTTGTCTCCTCCAATAGCACTAATTCCTGACCCAGGAGACTCATATACAGTCGAAAAGCAGTGACTGTTCTTTTCTACAACAACATGAAAGCAATGCAGCCTCTTTTTTATACCTGGTCTTTCTTTATTTCCCAAGTCTCACTTTATTGGTTAGGACTTCCCATTTTATGGGGATTGATTAGATTCATTGCTGGACTAGGTTTTCTGGAGTGCATTTCCTTGCAACTTGATAATATCCAATGTATTTTCTCATTATATTCCTTTTTTTGATATGCTAAATTATAATTTGATAGGCTTATTAATCACAATGTTTTATTTTTAGTCACTAAGTAAATAGTAAATCATATTTACCTCTCCCGGGCCATGTTTTATTAAAACACTATTAAAACTATTGCAAATGTATCATCTCAAAAGGAATTTAATTTTAAAAACTCTATTTGGCTGTTATCCATAGACATAAAAGTTTTTTGTTGTTGTTGTTATTGTTGTTAATCCCCACTGTAGTATTTTTTCCAATTAATTTTTAGACAGAGTGGAAGGGAGGGAGAGAGACACAAAGAAAGAAACATTGATGTGAGAGAGACACATCGATTGGTTGCCTCCCGCACTCATCCCTACCAGGCCTGCAACCAAGGTATGAGGTACGTGCCCTTGATCGGAATCAAACCCAGGACCCTTCAGTCCACAGGCCAATGCTCTATCCACTGAGCCAAACTGGACAGCACCATAGACATAAAAGTTTTCATTCCCACCAGTTTAGCCATTTTTTGTGAATCGTTTTGAAGATGGCAACCTCCTTGTCTTGAAGCTGTTCAAGCACGGTCTCGTCTTCATTTGTATCAGGTGTTTTAGGAACAATTCAAGTACTTTTTTATAATTCCTTTAACATATGACCCTGAGGTTCTCATTCTCTGAATTTTTACCTGTGAGTGATCTCAGCCCCGAAATTAAGTGGGGGAGCAGGGTATGCTAGGAACATGCAAAGAGACATTCTTTTAACATTCAAAACAGAAAATCCTGTGTTTTTTTACATTCACTGTGTCTCCCATTTGTTACTGGGGAGTACAGGTGCTTTTCAGCTCTAATAAAGCCCCGTGATATTAGAATAAATTGTCTGGAAAGAGAAAGGTGGGGCTATTTTAAGCTATAAGTCAAGCCAAACTCATGTTGGATTTAGAGATATTGGCTTAAATTTCTACAGTGAAGCAAAATCATTGATTGTTTCATATTGTTTCATTATTCTTTTTAACTGGAACTGATTGAAACATAATTAGCTGGGGATTGCTTTTAAATGGAAAATAAGTAAACTTGAGGAAATACAGTTGTTTGCATTCAGATGCCATCCTGTTATTATGTATTTACTCTTCTAATGTTTGTTTGGCTCATATTTACCACAAAGCATAATTAGAATAAGATAGTAAGACATCTAAAGCATGACACATAATTACAGAGGGAAAGGGAATGCTGACTCATAAAGAATACATTTTTCCATTTGAGTGGATTCCACTGTCTTAATTAAAAGCCTGAAGAGTATTCTTGAGTAAGATTTTAGCTATGATTATATTTCAAGCAAAAAAAAAAAAAAATGTTGAAGTAAGTTGGTTCTTGAAAATTCTAAAATCCCAAGAGAAATTCCTATATTTCAGGCAGTTTTCTTGGTACTTTTAGTTGCATTACCTCATTTAATCCTCATAATGCCTTCCTGGGGTAGGTGTTGTTATTACATCCCCATTCTAAACATAGAACCTCTCTTGTTTACAGGTTACACAGCATTATGTTAAATTATTATTCCAAATGGAGAGTAAATGAGTGCCTTTATAATGAAGACCATAAAACTCCTTTATATTTTGTTGGCATATTTGGCTTCAAATGTATTTGCCCTTTTCTTGAAATTTACTCAGGGCCTATTTGTAAAGGTAACACCACCTATGAAACAATAGAACACCGTGCATAGGATGTTATAAAGCACTACGGTGTGTAGGCCAGCACCATAACCTGGGTAGTTCCAGGGAATTTCAAAGTGGGATTTGGGTTGAACTCAGAATGGTTAAACTCAGTGGGAAAATGTTAAATATCTGAAATCTAGCTTTAAAGAAAATATAAATAGTGTGTGCCTGGTTCTCTTTAAAGCCATTTTTGTTTCTGACTTAAGGGCAGAGCTATGAAGTAAGATTGTAATAAGTCCATTCCATTTTAGAGCATCCTTGTCAGGTTTAGATTAGCATGAGATCATTCCTGGTCAGAAAGAGTGGGATCAGGTCAGCCTATGCATTTGAACTGATGAAGCCAGGCAAAGCTTCCTAGAATTTTGATTCTCCTGAGCCAATCTCAGCCTCAATCCCAGATCCTGGCACTCAGTATATATAGTAAATTGATTAAATGATATGGACATTGAAAGCATTTTCTGTCTTTTAATTGTCTTACCAAACAATACAAGTAAAATTCCTCATGAATACATGTCTCAATTTGAGGTTGAATTATTCGATAGTTACATTTCCCAGAATAATTAATCTTAATACCATTCTTAGCTTTGAAATCTCTTTTCTGAACAGTAAATGAAAATTGATCATGAGGAAATGAACATTTAGATGTTATTAGCATTAATTGCTTCTTAGTAGAACTAAAAATTCTTTCTAACATTTAAAGGGCACCTTTTGTTTTTAAATTAAGAAAAATAGATGTTGAGATGCAATGCTGAACAAACTATTGAAATGCCTGTGTGTGTGTGTGTTTCGTTCTGTTTTGTTTTGCAGAGATCAGCACGCTGATGTCAGAGAAGAATTCGAAGAGAGAACAGAAAGTGAAGTGAAGACGTCACACGAAGCCAGAGGTAGCCGTAATAGTCTCCTGTTATGGATGGATATTACTAGTCAGACTCAACCATCAAATTTAGGCTGTGGCAGTCACTTTTATATTAAAGATAAACTTTATTCGATTGGTTTGTTCCATTAGCATAGGCAGTAAAGTTTATTGCTAAGGATAAATATAGCTGCGAGAAAAACAAATACAATTTCCTAAGTTCGGAATTATGAGTTCTAAGGCAAATATCTTACCTGAAACATGGAATGTTATAATGACACGTCTTCAGTGGGTGATGTAGCAAACATGTAAGTTGAATTTACAGGTTGTGTCTTGTGGTCACTTTCAGGTGGCCTTCAGTAAAGGCAAAGGAGAGCAAAATTATTCAGGGACTATATGTTGAAAGGAACAAATGAATTCACTAGAGCCTCACCCCCAGCTCATTATGTTATGGTATTTAGGGTTTTCTTTTGCAGTTTTTCAGAGAGCGATTTCCCATTTGTTTCCATCGACAGGTGCCCGGGAAGAACCTAGCGTACCACAGGCACAGCGTCGGTCCGCTGTCTTTCTGTCCTTTAAGTCCCCAATTCCATGTCTGCCCTTGCGCTGGGAGCAGCAAAGCAAACTTCTGCCAACTGTAGCCGGAATCCCTGCCAGTAAAGTTTCCAAGTGGAGCACAGATGAGGTATATTTTATTTCCTTTGTCTTCCAAGGACCAGATATGGGAGTACTACTGACTTAATGAGTGAACACAGTGAATGGGGGAGGGGGAGGTGTTGCTGCCTTTTTTTCTGAAAGATAAATTATTCTGAGAGAAACAACTAAAACATAGAGATACAACAATTTGAACCTGAGCAATTTGAATTCTGACCTCTTTTTAAACTGGAATTTTGATCTTATTTTTGACAGGTATCAGAATTCATACAGAGCTTACCTGGGTGTGAAGAGCATGGGAAGGTATTTAAAGATGAAGTAAGTGTCCCACTAAATGGCAGCCTGTAACTTAACGGGATCAGAGCACTGACATGCAGTGAAGGGTGAAATGTTTTGCATCAGCAGAGGTGGAAAGAGATGGATTATGTTGAAATTGGCAAGTCGATAGAGAGTTGTCTAACAAGCAGCATTAATCAGTTGTATAAAAATGTCTTTGTATAAGATTAGGTGTAAAGGAAATATTTGTACCACTTTATAATGCCCCAAAGCATAGCACTAGACTCATTACTTAAAAAAAAACACACAACAATGAACACAAAACTTAATAGCATGCATTTATATAGTTTATAGTACAGAAACGAACAAACAAAAAAGGCATAACATTTTATTTTTAATACCAGGAAGTTAGTTCCCATTTTATTTTCAAACATAATTTTAACAGCACCAAGATTAACTCCATTTGATACTTATGATAAATACTATTATCATTATTGCTAAAATAATCTTTTAGATCTTATATGTTTCTCAGTAATGTTTATAATAACTGATATTCATTACAGTCTGCTGTTGGAAGATTCTTTTTTTAGTTGTTTTCATCTGCCGGTCTAGGGTTTCAGTGTAGGGATGGTTAATAATGATATCACCTGTATGGAGCATTAGAACAAAAAGGAACTTGGGTCCTACTACCCCAGAAGTAATGCTGCTTGAGTACAGCAAGAGACACTTCACTGGAGACCGTTAGCAGTAAGCCACTTGCCTATCAGCTCCTCCAAGTGGAACAAATTATCACTCTCATCTTGGCGGCCAGAAGGTAGAAGGAATAGGTAACCTCAGAAGGCTTTCTCCAACGTCTGCCGTCTGCAGTTACAAATGCGTATGCCTTGTTTGGCCTCAGTTCTTTAAGAACTGCACACTTTCAATGAAGAGCATTGCAAGAGTTGCAGGAGAGCTCAGAACCCAGCCCCTGGCGCCAACGTCATGACACCCTTAGATATCTTGTATGCTTCAGCTGGGTGCCTGTTAACGTGCACATGGATCTGATTCTCAACGGCACTTTTCTGATTTGTGTTCTTATTTCAGAAATGCCTTATCTTCATTCTAGTTGATCTTTAATTGGCAAATATTCATATTTTGAGTTTCTTTCCCTAAGTGTCTGTAGACCACTGTTAGTTAATTTCCACCCCTGAACAGACTTAGACCCCCTGCAGGGAGCTTTCTTCTTTCTTTGAAAGTGTCACATCGTTGTTACTTTGAAAATGCTTTTTAAAAAAAGAAACATTAAAAAATAAATTTATATTTGTAAATTTATAAAAGTATATTTGTTTTAGAAATTTTGTCTTCAGTTCTGTGAATATCTAAATAATGCACCTGGATTTGCTCTGTTATGTAGTTTAAGTATGATTCAGGTTCCAATGATATGTTATTTCTTTGAATGAGGTTTTTCTTCATAGTGTAGTATTTTTGGAGACTCTCCTCAGGCACCTACTATCCTCAGAGCCAGAGCCTTCTTGTGAGGAGCAAAGCAAGACAGTGAATGTTCACTATATCACGTGTGTCATTCACATATTCATTCCTTTATTCATTCATCCTATAAAAAGCTTGGTAAATTTTTTCCAGTATATGTCACTCCATGTAATGCTCCGGTGAGACAGTTGATTCAGAGAGATAATAGGGTACAATTCTTGCTCTCACATGCCTAGCAAGGTCAGCAGGTGTTGGTTTTAAAAAGTTCTAGAGGTAAGTTGTAAAACAAAGATGTAAGTCATTTCTAAATGGCAAAGTGCAGGTGTTAGGATGGGCTACTATTTGAAACCATTCTTGACTTCTCTTTCTTTTACACACTCTATATTTAATGTCTTGACAATTCTATTGGGTGTATTTTGTTGTTGTTGTTGATAATCCTCACCCGAGGATATTTTTCCATTGATTTTTAGAGAGAGTGGAAGGGATGGGGAGAGAAAGAGAGAAACAGCAATGTGAGAGAGACACACTGATGGGTTACCTCCCGCACTCGCCCTGACCAGGCTCAGGGATCAAGACTGCAACCGAGGTACATGCTCTTCACCGGAATCAAACCCGGGACCCTTCAGTCCCTGGCTGATGCTCTGTCCACTGAGCCAAACCGGCCAGGGCACTATTGGGTGTTTTTTTAAAAAAACATAGGGATTCTGGCTCTCTCTCAACCTCCACCACTTCCCCTCTGGTCTGAGCCACTATCATCTCCCACATGGATTAAGACAATACCTCCTAATCAGTTTCCCTGCTTCTATTTTAGCTCCTCTACAATCTCTTCCCAGCAGAGCCATGGTGATCCTGCAAAAACATGCCAGATCATGTCACTCCTCCATACCTATCCTTTCAGTAGTAAATCAGAGGAAAAATCAAAATCCTCACCAGGGCCTACAGTCTGACACTCCAGTACCTTCTCAACTCCTGACCACGTTTTCTGCTCTGCCCCCTGCTTACATGTCCCATACACTGGGCCCCTGGCTGTCCCTCAGATTGTGCAGGCACACCCAGCTCTCCCCTGTACCTGCAGTGCTTTTCCTCCAGAGGTTCACATGGCTCACTCCCTCTGCTCAGGTGTGACCTTCTCTATTAGTCCTTTCCTGACCATCCTGCTTCACATTGCCGCCTGCCACCACACATCCACCTCTGCCCCGACTGCCCGCTCATCTCCTCAACCAGCTGATTTTTTTCAGAGCACTAACCACCTTTTAGAATTAATTACTGTTAATTCATTTCTAATTAATTAATTTTGCTTACAGTCTCCCACTACTAGAGTGTAAACTCCTCCACAGGGAGTTTTTATTTGCTTGCTTGCTTGTTTTGTTTGTTTTTGTTTGTTTTTTCTTTGCTGTATGTCCAAGCCCAAGAAGAGTGTTTGCAACATAATAGATGGTTAGTAAGTTTTAAATGAGTGGATATACTCATTTATTTACACTCTGGGAAGACATTCAAAGAGCATGCTGCTGTGGTGTGCAGAGGGAAAGCACTAGAAAAGAACCCGAGGGTATAGTGGGAAGAGCAATGGCATGGAAGGTGGGAGCCCCCCCTGAACTCCACATCCCCCTTAGTTTTGGGCCTTTAGCAAGATACTTAATCTCTGCAGTTGGGCCAATCTGGGTGTATTATAAAAGCAACAAATGAGCCCTAACCGGTTTGGCTCAGTGGATAGAGTGTTGGCCTGCGGACTGAAGGGTCCCAGGTTCGATTCTGATCAAGGGCATGTACCTTGGTTGCTGGCACATCCCCAGTAGGGGGTGTGCAGGAGGCAGCTGATCGATGTTTCTCTCTCATCGATGTTTCTAACTCTCTATCCATCTCCCTTCCTCTCTGTAAAAAATCAATAAAATGTATTTTAAAAAAATAAAGCAACAAATGAAAAATAAACTCCATAATACATTGCAGTGATCCTTGTTCTTAGAAAGTACTTTCTCAATTAAGTTTGCCTTCTCCCAGCCGAGGCCTGTCCTTACGGCCACGCATCAGAGCAGCTGTAATAGACTGGTATTCGCTTCAGGTGATTTTTTCCCTTTTCAGTGTAACCTTAAAAATAATAATCTACCGAAACTTTATTCCACTCCAACTTTGAGATCCCAGCCTCACTGCTCTCTGAATGGTCCTATTCATAAGTCATCCGTCATCTTTAACTCTTACATAGTTTCAGAAGGAGACTCCGTAGAGCCCAAGGTTATAGTAAAACAGTCAGTCTTTGCGTGAGCTCCTTGGGAACAGGTGTGCTAGCTGACACTTTCATTCATGATTTGGAAGATTTCTCTCACATCGTTCACTCTGCTAAGGTCTGCCGTGGTTGAGTGAAGTGTTGTTATTAGACCTGCCTCTCTGGTTGGCCTTGCTTTATCCGAGGGCTGTCAAAACACAAGCTAATGACCAGAGGAAATGACTCAAAACACACTAGGGCATTTCTCAGACCTGCCACTTAACAGGTCTTACCCTCAGAATTTAACATCAGAATGTCTTTCCTTCTCCTTTAAGACAACAGGCTATTTCCTTGCCAGAAAGTAGCAACTTTTCCCACATAATTGTTCATTGAAGTGGTACACGATGATTGTAGCTCTTACTAGTACTGATTAAGTATACAGACAGTTTAGATTCACAGGCTTTTTTTATTTTTGAGGATAGAGGAAAATCTTAAGAAATAGCTATTTAATTATATCAGCCTTTATTTAATGAACTGTTTGCAGAATTTAGAGTAGTAGTCGTTTGCTAGGGCTGCTGTAACAAAATACCATAAACCTGTAGCTTAAACAGCAGAAATGTACTGCCACCCAATTCTGGAGGCTAGGAGTCTTTGACAAGTAGGTTTCTTCTTCCCAGGGCTGTGAGGAAAGGACCTGCTCCAGGCCTCTGTGTCTTGACTGTAGATGGTGTTGTCTTCAATCGTCTTCCTCCTCTCTGTCCAAATCATCTGTCTCTTCTCCAAATTTCCCATTTTTATAAGGACACCTGTCATGTTGGTTTAGGGGCCCGGTCTAATCGAGTATGACCTCATCTTAACTAATTCCATCTACAATGACCCCGTTTCCAAATAAGATCACATTCTGACCCTGGCCCGTGTGGCTCAGTTGGTTGAGTGTTAATCCTGTTCACCAAAAGTTCACAGGTTTGATTCCCAGTCAGGACACAGATCCAGGTTTCGGGTTCAGGAACCAATCAGTATTTCTCTCTCACGTTGATGTTTCTCTCTTCCTCTCTCTCTCTCTCTCTCTCTACAATCAATAAAAACTTTTTTTTCAAGAGCACATTCTGAGGTTATTGGGAGTTAGGACTTCAGCATATGAATTTGGGAGGGACACAATTCAACACATAACAGTATATCGCTGTCAATGTTTTCAGTGTGATCTTATAGAACAAATGCATGATTTATTTTTTGTACAAAATAGGAAAACTGAAAAAGAAGTGAATTGCTTTCTTTTAAGATGGTGGAACTCCACAGGAGCTAAAAGTCATATTAAAAGATGCCACTCCTTTACTCTGCCCACTAAACTAGACATCGTCTTCATAGAATTATATCTTTGAACCTCAAAGTACGCTATTCTGCAGAGCGAGAAGGGGGTTTCTCATGGTTACCCAAGTAGAGAAAGAACCAGTATAGAGTCTACAACTCTTAACACCAATCTCATGTTCTTCCAATTACACTGTCAATTGCCCTTGTTAGTAACTGCTTTTCTTTTGTATGTGAAGAATAATTATGGCTACTCCAGAAATGTTACCAGTTTTTTTCTTCATGGTGGAAGACTAATTTTAAAAAAATTATTAGCATGTAGCTGATATGTTTGTCTGAAGCCTTTGATTGTAGCCACAAATATCTGTGTACCTATTTTCATCTCTAATTTTAGACTAAAACCTGTGATGATAGGAACTGAATTTGAGGCACCCCACACTTTCCCATTCTTCTTAAGTCAGCGTCTATGAGTAATCACTGGAAGGTATGGGCACCTTCCCTTTTCCTGGGAGCCAATTTTTCAGATGAATGAATTTTCACTCTGCCCCCAGTCCACATTAGCTGTGTTGTTGTAGATAAGAAAGATACGTTTATCAGGAAATGTTTGTACACCTGAACTCCCCTTGCCTGTGCCGTTTTAGTGTTGCTGTGTATAAGACAGCTGATAATTTAAACTTGATTATTCCCCATAACACGATATCCGATGAACTCACGGTCTTTTGTCTTTTACTCCCATTTCAGCAAATTGATGGAGAAGCGTTTCTGCTTATGACGCAAACAGACATTGTCAAAATTATGAGCATTAAGCTGGGCCCTGCTCTCAAAATTTTCAATTCTATCCTGATGTTCAAAGCTGCAGAGAAGAACTCTCACAATGAACTTTGAAGATGGTGAATTTTGGATACCATCAGCTTTCTGCTTTAAAGCTCATGTTTTATTCAAAGCACAAGGACAGGTAACTCCTCAGTGAGAAGTCTCCAAAACTCAGAAGAGCAATGCGATCAGATTATTTATATTCCTCCAGAGACAATATATATGAATTCCTATGAAAGTGCTTGAGCTTTTAACCAGGTACTGTCTAACAACAGTCATCCTTTGGTTCTGTTCACTGAGCTAAATTTATCTTTGTAAATCTTTTTGAGGCTGGGGGGGTGGGAGGAAAGGGAGGGCTTCATTAATTATTTATGGACAATGGGGGGCAGAGTATGACTTTTTGGCATTTTATAAACATTGATGAATTCTCTTTCATGTACACTGTTTCTTTTTCAATACTTTCAGGAATCTTTTTATATAATCAAATTTCAACCTAAACCAAAATAGTGTCTAAACCTGGCTAAGTTTAGCCAGTTGGACGGTTGGTTATCTGTATTGTTAATTCTGTGCCATATTTTGAATTGCAACATTATGCTAAGTATAACTTTGCAAGTCATGATATTGCCTAACTGCTTGTCATCGTTTGTTGGGGCCGAATAGTTGTAAAAATCACTTTTCCTTAAATCTGTGTTTTTGCTTTTGCACGTATTATGAAATGTTAAACAAATTACGTTCACCAGCATCTTTACTATAATTACCAAAAATCATGTACATAAGTAATGGAATTGAAAAATAAAATATATCAGCATAAATAACTTAGGTGATGTAGTTGAATGGCATCCGTCTCACCATCGTGATGCCTTGTGTGCTGGGCTCTTGTAGAGTCCACTGTCATGGAATATGCAGTTACATGGGGGGAGGGGGGATTGTAAGGATCTGAAACTATTTATGAGATTATCTTGAGCTTCTCTCTAATTGTTATTGAGGTGCTTTTCAGAGATCGGTGAAGGGCTTGTTCTGTCCATAGAAACACTAATCCCTAAGCAGCTCTGTCCCAGATCTTGCCGTGTCCTCCAAACCCGAAGGTGTTCCTTGAGGGCTGGCTGTGGAGAGAGGTGTGTTGACTTGACTGAGAAGGCAAGGTGTGAGGGAGCAACACCAGCAAAGATTCTAAATGCTCACAGAACAGGGAGGCGACTTCCCAAAACAATCACTCGAGAACCTCCATTTCGGAGAGATTCCTTTCTCTGTGGAACAGTTCGCCTCACTATGTAAGCATACAGATGCACTTTAAATGGAAGCCCTTGATTACCTATACAATGATAGCTGGTAGTGTTTCTTTTGCAAGAATGCATTTCCAACAAAAAGGTAAATTATTTTATCAGCCTTTGGATGTAATTTCAGGATTGAACATTAATTCAAGGTCTCTCTTAAAAGTAGGAAGTAGGTTTGCAGCATGCTGTCTGAATTCTGGGCAAGTTCCACCCCTCTTTAGTTGCTCTTTTTTTTTTCTGGTGTAGAATTTCCTTTCCTGTCTCCCCCACTTTCCTCTCCCCCACCCCTCCCCGTGGAGGTCTGTTAGCAGTCTTTTGCCTATGTCATCATTCCAGGTAAAAACAGGGTTATGATATCTAGTGTTCCTTCCTTTCTTTGCATGAATCTGCTTAAACAAGTTTTGCTCTGTTAATTTTCATTTCCTTTTTTTATGTTTTGTTCAGAATTTGTACATTCAAATTGCACTTGTTATATCTGACATGAATGAAATAAAATCTTAATTGCAGATACCTCTTTACATATGTGTGATTTTTAAGAAAACTTGTCAATAGGAGGAGAGCATGAGAACAGGAACAACATCAACTGGGACGGTATCACACGGGTACTCACTAGCTGTGTAAGGACTGCAGGATTGAGAATTGTTTGTCAAACTATGTCCCTGCCCATGTGAAGAGCGACAAAAAATTCAAAACTGAAATACATACATAGCCCATGAACACAGACAATAGTGTGAGGAAAGCCTGGGGTGGGGCAGGGGCTGAGTGGAAGGGGCAAAGGAGAGGGAAATATGGGACATCTGTAGTAATGCAATAATAAAAAAAATTCTATTGTTATGTCAAGTAGGATTCACACCCATTGGGGATTTTTCTTTTCTGGCTTAAAGTTTATATAACAAAAAAAAAGACTTAAATCTTCCTGGATTCTAAGCAGCATGTTAAGATAGAGGCAAGGCATGGAGCATCCTTAGAGTGGAGCAGTGCCCCTCAAGAAGGGGGAAACCTTTCCCCCATTCCTTCCTGGGGATACAGTCTCAGTCTTCACCGAGGAAGTCGGGGTCATGATGGCAGAGAAGAGCCTGGAAGGGGAGAAGCAGGCTAGGGTTAAGACAAGGGAGGGACGGGGAATGTGCAACTGGATGGGACCTTTTCCACCTAAAGGCATTTTCAAACATTTCAGGGAACATTGTGCAAGCCCAGAGAGACCTGCCTGTAGATTGAAATACAGCCCCTGGCTGCCATTTTGCAACTTTTTGATTCTGGAGAGTCAGCCTCCAAGCAAAGCAGGGTTCGGTTAGTCCAGCAACATTGGAAATTTGCCGAGTGGCCGGGGCGCGCTAGGCACTGGAGATAGGAGCACCACTGAAAGATAATAAAGCTTAAGTGAATCTGCCCTTATGGTCAGCTCACATCTTTGCAGCCAAACCGCCGCTGTTCCCCATAGACCCACCGCCATCCCTTCACCCAGCCTAAAGGAATAAAGAGGCTTTCCTTCAACTTCAGCCATAGACATTGCAGGCCCCCAAAGGGAAGGAAGCTTTAAGAACTTGAGAAATAAAACCAATTATGAAATTTAAAAAGTGTGCGTGGGGGGTGGGGGCGGCGCTAATGGAGAAAATAAAGGAAAGTAAGGAACAAAGGCATATTCTAGTTAAAGGGAGGAAATGGAAACGAATAGGAGGTGGTTTATGGGAAGGTGACACGTGCCAAGTTGCTGTGTATTCTTCCTGTCGATTCCTGTGCAAGTCGTTAGTACATGGTCGCTGTGGAGTGGGCAGCTTCTCTTTCATCGTCTTATCTCATTGGCTTAGCATTTTAATGAACATCAGGAGAAACATCTCCAAGCAATGGTCAGACCAAGGAGGCAGCCCACAGCCCCCAAATGTGCAGCTCCTGGGCATTAGACTTTCAAAGGTGGGCACATCGAGTTAAGAGCAAGGTCATGCCCTAACCCAAAGACTTAGCAAATATGAAGTGTAGTGCCTTTTAAAAACGAATGCACCCATGAAAGTGTAACTGGGACCATGGTATTTCTCAAATCAAATCAAAATAAATAAACAGGTGCTAGCTGGTTTGACTCAATGGATAGAGCGTCGGCCTGCAGACTGAAGGATCCCAGGTTCGATTCCGGCCAAGGGCACATGCCTGGGTTGCGGGCTTGATCCCCGGTAGGCAGGCGTGCAGGAGGCAGCCAATCAATGATTCTCTCTTACCATTGATGTTTCTATCTCTTTCTTCCTCTCCTTTCCTCTCTAAAATCAATAAAATATATTTTTTAAAAAAATAAATAAACAGCTCTTTAAGTATTATTTTATTACAGAATTTCAGAAAATTTAAGTATTTAGGATTAAAGACAGAAAGCATTGAGCCCTGGCCGAGTGGCTCAGTTGGTTGGAGTGTCATCCTGTATAGCAAAAGGTTGCAGGTTCGATCCCCAGTCAGAGGCAACCAATTGATGTTTCTCTCTCATATTGATACCCCTCTCTCTCCCTCCCTCTCTCTAAAAATCAATAACAATGTGTCCTCTGGTAAGGATTTAAAAAATGCATTGAAATTCATTTACATCTTTGAGACAAAATGATTTCCTAATTATCTACCACAACTCTAATTCAAACAATTTTTTGTAAAGTCTCGGCCGTCCCAGAGATCAATTCTAATACAGTGGGGCCTTGACTTACGAGTTTAATTCGTTCTGTGACGGAGCTCGTAACTCAAATTACTCGTATGTCAAATCTTAAAGTGAACGAGTGAGACACGTGATGCTGGGCTGATGTTGTGGCGTTCACTGCGCCAACTAGCAGTGGGGTATCTGAAGCTGGCTTGTAACCCGAATTTTAGCTCGCAACTCAAAGCAAAAAATCGGCCGAGAGACGGCTCGTATCTCGAAAAACTCGTTAGCCTGGACGCTTGTAAGTCCAGGCCCCGCTGTACAATATTTAGCATTCTATTACGTGACCGGGTGTTGAAACCCTCCTTCCTTTTCCTTTTCTTTCATAGAAGGAACGTAGGGACTGTGCATATCAAAAATCTGTGTCTCCAGGAAGTGGAGCGTTTGGGACAGTCGACTCGGACACTGGATCCCAAACACATGAAAGGCAGCTACTAGAGCAGCCAGGCCCGTAACACAGTCGTCCACTTTTGTGAGTCTTTCTTTTTCTAAATACAGAGAAAATTCACAGACATCAATGTTGAAAGGGTTTTTAACTTCTAACACGGGAGTGGACACTTGCACCTGAAAAAAAAAAAAAGGAAGTGTAAAATAGCTAAATAATACAAGGTGTCTGGATTTATTATAAAAAATGAGCTTGTTGCAAATTAGCATATTTGTAAAAGTGACACAACATACTTCCAAATAGACCACCATCCTGCTTTCAAATAAGAAGCTGTGAGATGTCAAACCAGCGATCACTGATATAGGGCATACCTTCTCATTCACGATGACAAAAAGGCTGGGATCATCCCCAAACACATCTGGGAGGAGTAAACATGTGGCTGTCATCTTCATATCTGTCAAAGCAAACGTGCTTACAGTCCAAGTAAAATGAGCTTTTCCTAACTGTTGTAGCAAAGCCAGTATAAAGCACCTGGATTTTTTAAAAAATCGTTACGTCTACAGAGAACAAACGAGCCTTCTTAGATTGGTGTTTCACAACCATTTTTAACCAACATGCCCATCTAATAAACATTCAAGATCTCGTGTTCTGTCCCCCAGATCTCTGTCCTTTTATCAAGCTCTACGTTGTGATCTAGGTTATGAAATTAACAGATTATTGGTTCCCTAAATATACTTTATAGGATCAAGTGTCCTTTTTGTATTTATACCCCAACACCTCCTATTTGAGAATTTTTTTTTTCTCTCCCATATGTTGTTTCACTAAATTTTACTCATTATGAAAACAGAACTTTTCCAACCATCCTGAATTATACAGATGACTAAGGCCAGAGAGCCCCACTCCCAGGCTTACTAACATTTCAACATGTCCTCATCTGTGTGCTGTTTCATTTTTTCTTGCAGCGCAATGTTGATTGGATTGTCCACCACTGAAAAAGAAGTCAGTATATTGTCTGAATAGGATTCCAAAACGTGCCTTGTTTTCTTATAAATATCTGTTCTTGTAAGAAGATGAAATTCTTTGAACATCTGAAAGAAGAAAATGATATCAGATCACTAGAAAAGCTAATGAAAGGGAAGTAAATAACTCTTTAGGATTATTTTAAACTTTGAATGTAGTTTAAAGTATATACCAGAAATTTCAGTAGCTTTAGTAAAGAAGTAAAGACTTAGGACAGAGAAGGAGGAAAGAATGAAAGTCTGAAGTGAGCAGGAAAAGATAATTAATGGACATGGCAAACTTTGACCCGTAGAATTAAAACTTTGGATGCAGACCCAATTAAATGGGTATATATGCATATTTTAGCTATTGAGGTTACCTAAATAAGATTAAGATTCTAGGATCTTACGTTTCTTTACGTAAAAACTACATTGTTACGTTTTGGCAGTGTCCAACAAGAGGCAAAAAGAAAACTTAGATTTTAAGAGGCAAACCTTGAAAAATACCAAAACTTAGTGTTGTAAGGGATCCTAGAGAAAGAGGAGAGCTTTAGAGACTATAAGATCAGCTAGAAATAAACTGTGACAAGATATTTGAGTACAAGGTGAAAGCAAAACCAGTTTATCTTTACGGAATCCCCTGTTCTTAAGCCACTGGCTAAGAGCTTCCCCTCAGAGACTTCCACCATCACTGCCCCCCTCCCTACTTCCTGTTCACAGGGAACTAAATCTGAAGGCAGCCAGTGCAGGTCATTAGAAATAGGCCCCAGAAATTCTCACCAAATGGTCCTAGTTGTAGCCAAGGGGGCCTCACACACCCTATTGAGATTCACACTTGCTGCCTAGTCCTGTTTCCACTTCAAGAGGAAAGAGACAAATCAATTTGGACACTACAATCAGAGAGTATTATAAGCGAATAAAAGTACCTGATAAGGGCACTTCAGGAAAGGAAACATTTTAAGGATGTCCTTCAGAGGTGTTCTGCTGCCAATCAACTTCCTTCTTATTTGCAAAGTCTGGCTCATCCTCTTATCGATTTCCCTCCAGTCCTTGACTGTTTTCACATATTCTTGCTGGAACCAGCTAATATGTTCATCTACTTCAGAATCTAAACAAATAGCTTCTTCCTGAAAAATATTTTCAAAATATCAACATGTTGCATATTTAACATTTCAATTTTACCCTTCATGAAATTTGAATTATAGGCTGCATTGCACTCATTTTATATTTTATATAATATAAATCATATTATAATAATGCACTCAAAAGATGCGTATCATCATGTGTAATTAATTACACTTGGCATTGAACATGGTTAGCAAATGGACAATCTAACTGTGAACAAATCAGGTAGCTAATTACTGTGGAATTATCTGTTCTCTTGACAGAGCTATGAGTAACTTCATTTCCTACATACCCTTTTACATGGAAGTCTAGATTATCCAGAAGGTTCACACTTAAC